AGAGAGACAGAGAGAGAGAGAGTGAGAGAGAGTGACAGACAGACAGACAAACAGACAGACAGACAAAGACAGAGTGACCCAAAGACTTCTTTGTAGCTGACTCAGCATAATTAATAAATGCTATTGATGTCGCTGATGGAGAGGAGAGGGTCTACAGAGGTAGCTGCTCTTTAACGCGACATATTACTTGTGGAGGGACTTTTGTATATCTCGGGGGCCTTTGACCCGACCCCGGCGTTCTAAGCATTCGCTATCACCTGTGAATAATCGCTCCTACTTTATTCAAACCCATCGCCTTTGACAACCCTGTCAACTGTGCGGATGCATATTGACACGACGGCAATCGAGATAATTGATCGATGTCTTCTTTGATCGGAGAAATGAGAGAAACGCAGCGCGAACTGTGTTGTGATAAGATTTCCACCGATTACAACGTTCTTATCGGGTCAGACCTCATGGAAGTTTCATCGTTCCCACTTTCTTCCTTCCTTTTGTCCACCACTTTATAGACGGGTTATCTCTGGGCTCTGTGCGGTGGCTTGACAGGCCGCAGGTCTAGGTTATTAATTATCTTAGGCCCATTTCTTGTGAGCCCCGCCGTGATATTTCTGGAATATTGCTAAAAGCGGCGTAAAACCATACTCACGCACTATTACTTTGAGGCTCACGAAGCCGTTGCTTCAGTCGTTGCTTTAGGTATATCGATGATCTGATATCGGTCAATAACAATCAAATAGTCAATTCCCTTCCACTGATTTACCCACCTGAACTAGAAATAAAGGAGACCAGTGAGACCGCATCAGCTGTTTCATATTTAGATCTATGTATAAAGATGTAGAGTGACAAAACACTCGCCACAAGACTGTATGACATGAGGGATGACTTCAACTGTCCAACTGGCAACTTTCCCTTCATGTCGAGGAGTAGTCCTGCAGCTCCAGCCTTTGGTGTTTACATTTCACATCTTTTAAATAATACAATCGGGCATGCTCTTTCTACCCAGATTTCAAACAGCGTTATACGACTCTTGCTCTCAATGTGTTTGATCAAGGTTGCAACATTAAAGGCCTCAGTAAAGATTTCAGAAAGTTTTATGGGAGACATGTGGAGGACATTTCCAAATTTGACGCATCAGTGACAAAAATGATGTCCGCTGCAATTCCTTATTTTGACTTGTACCATATATTCCCGTGTTTTATCAGATGAACAATTGACTTGCCTTTTTATGTGTTTGTGACGGGTGCCACCGATGGGGCAGGATACGCTCTCCTTTTCGCGAACACATGGTATCATCACTTTTTGATAGTGATTCATAAACACATGCCCATGATATTGTCGGAATCATAAAATCGACTCTGTTTTATGCAGAGATTTCTATTGGATATGGAAAGGGTTTTGTCACTTTATTGCAACAACAAAAACTTCCTTGCCCTATAAAAAGATGAAACTGCTACTGATCGCTGAGCGCAGGTTGCTTTCTCCTCCGCGGGGAATAGATAAGTTCAAGTGATTTATTTGACGAGTATAGAGACTGACAACATCATTTACAGAGACATTAGAAAGGCAAACAAGTGTAATTGTTTTCTGCCAAACAAGAAAGCAGCCCTTTATAAACGTCTCGCGATAGAACGAGTCGCTAGTCAACATGATTGACGGACTATCACTTTAGTATCAACACGAGAAAGAGTTATTGATATTTTGAAATTGGTTATAATACTTTCTTGGCTTCCGTCGCGACTATGACGACCAGAGTGTCTGTGGAGAGGAGAAGGAGTGCCCGAGTTCTGTGTTTAACTGAGTTGTGGTCGCTTGCACTTTTACCTGCTCTAAGACGATCGTTCAAAGAGAGTTGAACACAGTTCGCTGCTTTCCAACGGGCTTCCAGACAATGTCCGGTAGGGGCTTAACTTTGAGAGGGAACTTTGAAGTAACTTCAATGGTGCTCTATTTGAGGTACTGTTTAAGGTAGCCTTTTGAGGCTTGTTTCAGTTGCTGCTGAACTAACACCTGCTTGTTTAAATCTTCTACGCATCCCAAGTCCTAAACATCCAAAGTGCAAAGTCGTAATAGTTATAACAATGGTGTATGTGCTGAAAGGGATCTTTATTTATGTCACGTGTTATTTTAGGCCTTTGAGCCTTTGGGTGTCGCTCGATGGCTTCCTCCAAACACGCTTACAGCCAATGTAATGTCATTTGGGCTGTTTACATGACACTTTTTGTGGTCATAGCCAGCTTTAGCTAAAAGAGTTTCGACCTCATCAACATTGTGTTATTGTTGGGTTAAATCAATCCGATGCCTTAAGAGTCTTATGAAGTTAAAATTGAACCAAGAAAAGTCAATTTGGTGAAAATTATATTTTAGGAATTGAAACATTGTACATGTGTTTTATTTATTTACAATACGGATATCCCTCCTTGAGATCTGAGTGAGTGGGTGAGGTTTTAAGCCTCTTTCAGCAATATTCCAACAACATCATGACGGCACTACAACATCCCCGACGTAGCTACAAAACCCTCCACGTCGCTACAACACCCTACGACATCGCAAACGTCGCACCAAAATCATTGACAAGACCCTTCACGTCGCTACAACACCCGTGACGGCTCTACGACATCGCAAACGTCACGACAACATAATTGACAAGACCCTTCACATCGCTACAACACCGGTGACGACGCTACGACATCCCTTACGTCGCGACAATATACTCGACATCGCTTCAACACCCGTAACGGCGTAACAGCATCCTCGACTTAGCTCACGTCGCTACAACACCCATGGCGGAGCTACGACATCCCCGACGTAGCTACAAGAACCTTCATATCGCTACGACACCCGTGACGGCGTTACGGCAATCGTGACCGCGGTACGATACCCAACGTGGCGACAACATCCCCGACGTTCCTTCAACACCCATAACGGAGTGACAACATCGCCGACGTATAACTACAACAACCCTGAGAGATCCTCACAAACCCTACACACTCTCAGACTTCAGATAAACATAGCATGTCCTTCAAAATATTTCCGTCTCACGACCACATTATTCAATTCCTTTATGGGGACTTCAAGCTCGGCTCGGAGCGTTCGCCCATCTCGGAGGATTCGATACAAACAAGATAATCCCCTCCAGATATTTTGGTCTATTCCTTCCGCCGGCAGCGTGTGTGTGTACAGGTTCCCAAGCAACAATGATCTGTCTACATCACATGAGATCTGCCAGGCCTCATCAGAAACGTGGAGACGTCAAATGCAGTAGATGATGTCGGCACGACGGGGGTAATAACGTGCTACTGATGCCGCCGCGAGACGTAGTCCCTATAGGATCGGTTCATCTGATACGACTTGGACAATTGTAACCTGCATTATTGACGTTGTCAACAGCAGAAAGAAGCTGCTAGAACTGATTAGATGTTTCCGAAGAAAGATTTTCCACAATCTCAATCAAACATACTATCTAGTCAGAGGTCGCGCTAGCATCAGGGGTTCATAGAGTCAGATTGTGCCGGTTACGACGAATTCAAGGTCGGGGCTAACTCAATGCATATGGTTAAAGTGCTCGCTCTTGATGCCGAAGACAGGGTTCGACTCCCCACATTGGAACGATAAATGCTGGTGATTAGTAGTAGTGGGGCAAGACGAGCATGGGGCAAAACAAGCATGGGACAAGACGAGCATGGGGCAAAACAAGCATGGGACAAGACGAGCATGGGGCAAGACGAGCATGTGGCAAGACGAGCATGGGGCAAGACGAGCATGGGGCAAGATGAGCATGGGACAAGACGAGCATGGGGCAAGACGAGCATGGGGCAAGATGAGCATGGGGCAAGACGAGCATGGGGCAAAACAAGCATGGGACATGACGAGCATGGGGCAAGACGAGCATTAGACAAGACGAGTGTGGGGCAAAACAAGCATGGGGCAAGATGAGCATGGGGCAAGATGAGCATGGGGCAAGACGAGCGTGGGGCAAGACGAACATGGGGCAAAACAAGCATGGGACAAGACGAGCATGGGGCAAGACGAGCATGGGGCAAAACAAGCATAGGGCAAGATGAGCATGGGGCAAGATGAGCATGGGGCAAGACGAGCATGGGGCAAAACAAGCATGGGACAAGACGAGCATTTCAATTTCGGTTTCTGTATGTCAATATATGTATGTCTCTTTCTAAAAATATAAGAGGCTAGTGGTTTAAGCGTTCGATCCTCACGACGAAGATCCGAGTTCGTTTCCCGACATGGATATTATATCTGAAGCCCATTTCTGGTGTCCCCCGCCGTGATATTGCTGGAATATTGCTAAAAGCGGCGTAAAACCATACTCACTCACTCTAAAATTATGAATATATATAATATGATATGAATATATATGAACTATATAGTTAGAGGTGTAAAATTATTTTGCATGCGTTTATGTTACGCAGATGTCCCCATTGCGACGTATAATAACGGAAACGCGAGGGGCTATTAAAACGGAATGAAAAAGAGGAAACATTTCTCATGTGGCACGCTACGTGTTGAAACTTTCATATCACTAACGGTGGGGAGTACTTGATCTTACTGAGAAATCAAGGAAATAGTTATATCTGAAAAAAATATAATATGATACTGTTTAGCTTCCTGTAACCTACGATGAAGTAGACTCGTCCGAATGAAAGAATTATATATGGGGGTGAAAGATTAACAGTAAACTGCTTACTAAATTATATTTACTGCTAATTCTTCAGCCAGAAGTGATGCAAACGTTTACCGCTATTCCCAGTCCCTCCACGGGTACGGTACTGGCAAACCCAGAAACCATAGTTCTGCAACGCCTAAGCGTCGCAACTCTTCTGGGCTGGGCAACCTATACACCCTTTGTGTTAGTGGACCTTGGCTAAGATGACCGTCTTTCGTCATGTACTCTGTTAAAAAAGGTTCGTCATGTATTCAGTAAAAAAGGTACAGCACTTAATGAAAAATTGAATGTCTCCAACAAGTTCTGATTATCATTTCAGAGACCTTGGGATGAACAACATCAGCCATCTTCCAGAGACCATCTTCCGGAAGCTGGAATCCTTGAAAGAGCTGTGAGTTGTATAATGGTGTATAAATCTCAACGCGATCAAACATTTCTTTTTCGGGAACATAATGAATGTTCACGATGAGCGTGTTGATTTGCCGGGAAATCCAAGCAGCGCACCGGACACAGGGCGTTTGTGAAGCGAGCTGAGTGCGTATTAGGATGACACACTCACATTCTCGGTGTTCGGTGAATCCAAGTCTGAAAGCAATTTCTTTTTTTGTAGGCATGCTTTTTTTTTATAAAGACACGTCACCAAGCGTCTGTAATACGTTCAAACGTTGACTTATAAGCTGCCCATATAAGCAAGGAATATACTGCTCTCTCTCTCTCTCTCTCTCTCTCTCTCTCTCTCTCTCTCTCTCTCTCTCTCTCTCTCTCTCTCTGAGCACGTATGTGTCTCTCTGTGTCCGTATCTGCTTGTACCATATCGGTTTTATAGTGTTAGCCCACCATGCTTCAGTTTAACATGAATAGGACCGCCTCTGTGGTCTAGTGGTGGAAGGTCCGCCCGAAAGTTCGATCCCCGGTCGCGTCATACCAAAAGACGTTAAACGATGGCGATTGTTGTTACCCTGCTTGGCGTTCGACATTCAGGGGCGAAAGGGGCTGGTCAGCTCGAGTATACTGTGTCTGAGTGGGGTATTCATGTTAAACTGCTGCATGGTATCTCAGTGGTGTCTCACACGCACGTCGCTATATAAGTGCAATAATCTTGAACGCGACGTTGAAGCCCATTTCAACTCACCTTAACTTAGATGGGGTAGGGGACGGTTGGTGATCGTGGGTTTCAGTCCCAGATTCGCCCCGATTATGTTTATCTAGGTGTGTCACACCATATCCGTTCTCGTTGGCTTCACTGAAGTGGTAAACGTCTGCGACCTGCATCACATCAGACCTGCCTCCCACATCAAGCTGCCACACCGCAGTGATACTGAAATGCTGTTGAAAGCGGCGTTAACCAGAACTCACTCACCTACATGTTCTGAGGTTTCACTTTGGCCGATGTGACGTAACAGTTATGTGGGACGGTGTCCCTAGTCAGCTGCTAGGTATAGAGGGTCAGGATCCAATATCTCCCCTGATTATGATCCTTGGGCTGCCAGCACCATACCCGTGCACAGTGGTAAAGATGCAGGCTTTCCTCTCGGTGAACGGAGGAGAGACTCGTGCTGAAAGTCACAACTGCTGTTCAAGGTGGAACCAGCTGTTGCAAGCTCCAACACTTTACTGCTGTGATATTGCCGGTCACAACACAATGTCCACTCATTTATCCGATCGATCTCCAGTGTCTCATGTGTTCGTTAGCAATGTCACTGAAGGACGAAGTACACTAATGAAATCATCTGACTCACTGAAAGATATTATTTAGTAAATAATCAAATAAATTTCAATAAATTTTGAAATTTTGTGATGAATATTGTCGGAGAAGGTAATATGACTGAATACTAGCCTCATTTCCATCTTACATTTACACGATTTTTTACCTGTGCCTATAAGCATAGCTAGAATGAGAAACATACAGGTTTGGCGGTACTCGTAATATTTGTTCTGTTGAAAGTGGCGATGGGGTAGCCTAGTGGTTAAAGCGTTAGCTCGTCGCGCCGCAGACCCGGGTTCGATTCTCCACATGGGTAAATTGTGTGAAGCACATTTCTGGTGTCCCGCGCCATGATATTGGTGGAGGTGAGGTGAGGTGAGGTGAGGTGAGGTGAGGTGAAATAGGGTTTAACGTCGCGTCCAAGATTATTGTGTGTGTGTGTGTGTGTGTGTGTGTGTGTGTGTGTGTGTGTGTGTGTGTGTGTGTGTGTGTGTGGCTGCTTGTACTAGTCTGGACTGATGCCGATTTATAGTGCTAGCACACTGAGATACCATGCCGCAGTTTAACATGAATACCCCACTCAGACACAATATACTGACTCCGAGCCGACCAGTCCTTGTTTTAACCCCTTCAAGCCGAGCGCCAGACAGGGTAACAACAAGTACCATCTTTTAACGTCTTTTGGTATGACGCGGCTGGGGATCGAACCCCTGATATTGGTGGAATTCTGCTAAGAGTGGTATAAAACAATACTCACTCGCTTGTACAATTAAACGGACGTGTAGCCTCGTTGATCGGGATACTTTATTAAATATCTGCTTCCGTATTGATGAATCAAGGAATATGAAAAACAACAACATATGTTTTAATCAAGAAACATCCGTTTTGACTTATACAGTGTATGCAATAACGAGGTTTCCGCTTTCAGGAAGATTACATGTTCTATATTTGTTTCTAGGCGCCTTGCAAGCAATCACCTCAAGAAGCTCCCCCGACGCCTCTTCCGTAACGTCCGCTACCTCCAGACGCTGTGAGTCGCCTGCTTCAGTTACAACGTTGATTACATTCTTATCCACCGGCATATAATGTGGGGGGATATAGTCATCATCTGGCCTGTCTGTCCGTCTGTCCTTCCGTATGTCGTTTCTGGAGCAGAACTTGAAATCCGTGAAAGATTTTTTATCCAAACCTTGTACATGTATTAATCAGGGGCTGAGGTGAAGTGGTAGCTATTCAGGAATTGAAAAAATATATACTTGTTTCCATGGAAACAAGTTACACTTAGCTGCAATGTGTATCCAAACTTGTATTAGTCAGGGTCTGGAATAGTTCCTTTTGATATTTAGGAACTGTAACTAATTAATGTTTCCCTGTTTCCATGGTAACAAGTTTGACTTTGTCTCTGTTGATAGCGGTGTGTTTATCCGGATTTGTCATCTTCTGATGAGTCATGTTGATATTGTATCACTCATATAAGTTATAATCAGTCTATCAATGTAATATCAGCTTGGCTGATGCGTATGTCGTGGTCCGACGTCCGGTGTCGTTGTTAACGGCATCTCATAACGAAGGATATTGATACCCCAGTTTGTTCAAAATGTTTAAATCTGAACTTTAGTATGAACCCAATTTGGAAAATCCGTTCATTGCGACATTCCTTAAGACAGTTTCTTTTGAAATTGTTTTGGTATGTTGGAACTATGCAGTGGCAATATAATATACTCAACATGAGCACTGTGACATTTTTAAAACAGGACCCTGTTTGGCATGTCTGAATATAAAGAATACCTATGCTGTGCATGGAGGTTGCTTGACGTCTTTGGCAGAATAATTGGGGGAAAATATCGATTCCTAAATTAGACAACTGTTTTCAGATAAGGAAGTACTTCTTTGCTATTTACGAACTTCTACACATTCAAACTGATGTTTTTGTATTTTTATTTCATTTTTGGGAATTCATTAGGTGCAATGCAATTACAAGGAATAATTATTCCCTTGGGAAATCATTACAATGTGGAGATAAAAGCGCGTTAAACTGTAGTAATGAACAAGGGGCAGACTTCTTAACATCTACAGTAAAACGTGTGAGTTTATAGCACTGAATTGTCCACCGCGTTATAAGCGAGGGGACTTTTAAAGTAAACCAACTGTACCAACAGTCGACTGTAGTGAATAAGTAACAGTTTCAGGCGTGATGAAGTCTATGATATGTTGTGCTTTTACATATGGTATAAAATAATAAAATTGAATGAAATATAATAAAAAAAATTCTGTTAATGGTGGTTTTATAGGGAGCTGACAATATTAGTATAGATTGTCCTATGTCGCATATAATCTCATTGTAGTCACCCGTGAAGATTTGGCTAAGAAATGATCTTCAGCCACCCATGTTTGTCGTAAGAGGCGACTATGCTTGTCTTAAGAGGCGACTATGCTTGTCTTAAGAGGCGACTATGCTTGTCTTAAGAGGCGACTATGCTTGTCTTAAGAGGCGACTATGCTTGTCGTAAGAGGCGACTATGCTTGTCTTAAGAGGCGACTATGCTTGTCGTAAGAGGCGACTATGCTTGTCGTAAGAGGCGACTATGCTTGTCTTAAGAGGCGACTATGCTTGTCGTAAGAGGCGACTATGCTTGTCTTAAGAGGCGACTATGCTTGTCGTAAGAGGCGACTATGCTTGTCTTAAGAGGCGACTATGCTTGTCTTAAGAGGCGACTATGCTTGTCGTAAGAGGCGACTATGCTTGTCTTAAGAGGCGACTATGCTTGTCGTAAGAGGCGACTATGCTTGTCGTAAGAGGCGACTCACGGGATTGGGTGGTCAGGTTCGCAGACTTGGTTGAAGCATGTCATCGCATCCCAATTACGTAGATCGCTGCTCATGTCAATCACTGTATTTCTGCACCAGACTCCATTATTTAAACAACAAACAAATAAACAAACATACATACATTGTAGGTCACATGTCACACGTAAAATGTCACATGCAATCGGTTAGTTGTAACATATCCGTGTAATCCCGTTGGTTACCACGTGTCACAGGTAATACTATTTATAACGTTACATGTAATGTTTTAAACCGTTTTCCAGTAATATTAGTGTTAAACCTAATCTCATTGGTTGTCATGTGTAATCTCTGGTTGTCACGTGTAATCTCATTGGTTATCACATGTTATCATTATGGTTTTGTTGAAGATGGCTCCAGGGCAACAAGTTCAAGGTTGTGCCGCGCAGAGCGATTCAGAGTCTGGATCGTCTCATGGAACTGTGAGTACTATCTTTTTAACGCCTATGTGTGGTGGTGGAGGTGGGGGTTGGGGGGTTGGGGAGGTGGGGGTTGGGGATTGGGGGGGAGGGGGGGGGGGGGGGAGAGAGAGAAGAGGACGGGGTGGCGGCAAGGTGACAGTTGCCTACGGCACCGCAATTAGCTGTGCGGAGTCGCGTCCCTTAGGTGTACCAGGAACCATTAATCGTGGGTTCGAGAACCAGATTCGCCCCGTTTGTTTTTATTATTAAACATATTTTATTGTCTAAAAAGACAAACGGATTGGGAACAAGTGCAACACTTATTACCACCTTCTCCCTATATACCGTTAAACATAATATTGCATTATGGAAATTAACAATTTACAATTGAAGCCTGACATTGTGGAAACATAGTGCGCAATATATATACAGTCTCAGTGAGTGAGTATGGTCTAACGCCGCTTTTAGCAATATTCCAGCAATATCACAGAGTGGGACACCAAAAATGGGCTTCGCTCATATAACCCATGTCGGGAATCGAACTTGGGTCATTGGCGTGACGATAGAACGCTTTAACCACTAGGCTACCCGACCAACCCGATTGTTTCAGGTTTGTCAGCACCATACCCGTGCTTGTGGTATTTCACCAAAGTTGAGACGTCTGAGACCTGCATCACTTTGGGCTTCCCTCCCACATCATGCTGACACGCCCTGATATAACAATAACACTCTCAAACCAAACTCACTGACTCGCTGAAGCCTATCCCGGCTGTTTTCTACGACATCTTAATTAAAGGGAAACAACATTCCATTCCTCAGTCGTCTAGCCGGCGCCGTTTTAATTTTCCCGCGTAATCACCAGATGCCAATTAGCGTCAGAATCAGCGTCACCGACCGAACAAACTGGGCTTCAGACCAACGAGGGAGGACATCGTTGACAGCGAGGAGGAATCCTCTTGAATCCACTTGAATCCTCACATTTGAACGGATGATGCTTACCACATCCTTTCACCTTGCTAATGCGCCTGAGTGTGTAAAGGTCTATGTACAAGTATGTGGTTTAGTATACAGCAAATACGTGTACGTATTATTTTTGCAACAATGAAATTCAGTTCATGTGCTCAAAACAGCACGACCCTTATTTTTCAGACAAATTGCATATAAAACAACAGTTACTCCCTTCTTGTCACTCATGTTTCATGGTATAAACCCTACACCCCTGTATTTGTAGACCGCCTCCGTGGTCTAGTGGTAGAGCGTCCGCCCGTAGAGCGGGGTCATTTGATATTAAGGAGTTTTAGAAATGTTTATTTTAGAATTTCCATTGCAGCTACATGGGCTAAGAGAAATGTTGGGTCAGTCACCTGGTTTGGGACCATAACGTGTTTAAATGGGTGGGGGATATAGATGACTTCGTTGACTATACGCTTGTTTAGTTATTGTTTCTTGTAATTTGTCATTTGTTTGCATAAAAAAACCCACAGAAACGCACATGTTTTACTTTCCATTTCATTTGGATGCGACCATGGTGGATCTTTTGTGGGTAACCAATGTATGCTTCTTCAAGAACATTCAACTGTTGACTCATTACATACAGAATTGCACATTTACTTGTGGTTACTTTACAGACAGATATGTCATCTTTCTGATTACTCTTGTTTAATATCTGCCAGCTTCCATCTTCAAGTCTTAAGTCTAACTGAGAAACCAAATGAATACATATAAATACCATCGAGTGTTGTTTATCGTCATTTATCTTTGACTTGTGTGGCTTCGTTACTGCATGTGTTATGCTTTAAGAAAGAAATAGTCATGAGCGGTCTTAGCATGTCTTACAGACGGTTACGACGCGGAACCTCATGCTTTTGCACTGATATAAATATTTGTATATAAGACAGAGAATTGGGTAGTGGGACAACTATTAAAGCCACACAGTTTTAAAAGAAATCATACCAAAGCCATTTAGAAATGAAGTTGGGGTTTCCTGGGGTTACGGATATACTCGCAAAGAAATGTCTGTATGTCGTGAGTAGGTGAGTCTGATTCAACTCCACTCTGAGTTATGATTTTTTTAAATAAAAGTAAAGGTATTCATAGAAAGAGTGAGTGAGTGAGTGAGTGAGTACCACCACAGTCATCAATATTCAAGCAACAAAAAAAACTGCCGGGAAAAGAAGGTATCCACATATTTGATGATGGCTAAGGAACAAGAAATGATTTTGCGATATTGATACGGGTAACATAGCATTAATATGGACCTTAAGTTTGCAACTGTTTTCAGCTGTTTAGCGTTTTGATAGCCTTTTTGGGTCATATCCAATTTTCAAGTGCATACTTTCTTTTACCCGGCAGTTTACTCCGGGTGATTGAGAAGAGATAAATAGGGTAGGATAAATACAGATGATATGTGATGTGTTACCAGCAAATGAGACCAAATCTGATCCATTACCTACCTCATTAAGGCTCCATGGTTCATTGTTCACAACGTCAAGCAATAGATTGTCTGCTCCAGGCTTGAACGTACTGTCGCTGTGAATATTCGAATGTATGAAAATTTAAGCATTAATCCTACAGTTGAAACACGTGGTTAATAATAAATCAATGGACAAAGCATACTGATTTAATCAACTAATCGATGTATTTCACTTACAGGAAGCTAGAGACGAACCAAATCGAGGTTGTGCCCCCCGATTCCTTTCGGAACATGCGCAGTTTGAAAAAACTGTGGCTTGATACCAACAACCTGAAGAGCATACCAGTAGCAGCCCTCAGTCATCTTCCGTCCCTCGCCGCCATGTAAGTACACAAGCAGAGTTAGATTTGGTGTAACGTCGCTTCGAACACAATATATTCAGTACACGGTCCGTCTTCTGTGTACGATGATTGTGCTAGCAGACCAAGGATCATAACTGGTGTGAATCCTGGATTCGAACCCACGATCAGCGGATCCTTACACCTCTATGACTTTGAACTTGGCGGTGCAGTGCCGTAGGCCCCTTGGTCATCAGTATCGTATGGCTATCAGTACCGCATGGCTATCAGTACCGTATGGCTATCAGTACCGTATGGCTATCAGTATCGTATGGCTATCAGTATCGTATGTCTATCAGTATCGTATGGCTATCAGTATCGTATGTCTATCATAACCCTATGGGTATCAGTCCCTTATGGCTATAAGTACCGTATGGCTATAAGTACCGTATGGCTATAAGTACCGTATGGCTATCAGTACCGTATGGCTATCAGTATCGTATGGCTATCAGTACCGTATGTCTATCAGTACCGTATGGCTCTCAGTATCGTATGTCTATCAGTATCGTATGTCTATCAGTAGCATATGGCTATCAGCATCATATGGCTATCAGTATCGTATGACTATCAGTATCGTATGTCTATCAGTATCGTCTGGCTATCATAACCCTATGGCTATCAGTATCGTATATCTATCAGTATCATGAGGCTATCCGTACCGTAAGGCTATCAGTACCATATGGCTATCATAACCCTATGGCTATCAGTATCGTATGTCTATCAGTATCATGTGGCTATCTGTACCGTATGGCTATCAGTATCGTATGTCTATCAGTATCGTATGTCTATCAGTAGCATATGGCTATCAGCATCATATGGCTATCAGTATCGTATGACTATCAGTATCGTATGTCTATCAGTATCGTATGGCTATCATAACCCTATGGCTATCAGTATCGTATGTCTATCAGTATCATGTGGCTATCTGTACCGTATGGCTTTCAGGAACCGTATGGCTATCAGTATCGTATGGCTATCAGCATCATATGGCTATCAGTATCGTATGGCTACCAGTACCGTATGGCTATCCGTACCGTATGGCTATCAGTACCGTATGGCTATCATAACCCTATGGCTATCAGTATCGTATGTCTATCAGTATCATGTAGCTATCAGTACCGTATGGCTATCAGTACCGTATGGCTATCCGTACCGTATGGCTATCAAAATCGTATGTCTATCAATATCGTATGGCTATCGGTATCGTATGGCTATCGGTACCGCATGGCTATCAGTACCATATGACTATCAGTACCGTATGTCTATCAGTACCGTATGTCTATCAGTACCGTTTGGCTATCACAACCCTATGGCTATCAGCATCATATGGCTATCAGTATCGTATTGCTATCAGTACCGTATGGCTATCCGTACCGTATGGTTATCAGTACCGTATGGCTATCATAACCCTATGGCTATCAGTATCGTATGTCTATCAGTATCATGTGGCTAGCATAACCCTATGGCTATCAATATCGTATGTCTATCAATATCGTATGGCTATCAGTATCGTATGGCTATCGGTACCGTATGGCTATCAGTACAATATGACTATCAGTACCGTATGTCTATTAGTACCGTTTGGCTATCATAACCCTATGGCTATCAGTATCGTATGTCTATCAGTATCATGTGGCTATCTGTACCGTAAGGCTATCAGTACCGTATGGCTATCATAACCCTATGTCTATCAGTATCGTATGTCTATCAGTATCATGTGGCTATCAGTACCGTATGGCTATCCGTACCGTATGGCTATCGGTACCGTATGGCTATCAGTATCGTATGGCTATCAATATCGTATGGCTATCAGTATCGTATGGCTATCGGTACCGTTTGGCTATCAGTACCATATGACTATCAGTACCGTATGTCTATCAGTACCGTATGTCTATCAGTACCGTATGTCTATCAGTACCGTATGACTATCATAACCCTATGGCTATCAGTATCGTATGTCAATCAGTATCATGTGGCTATTAGTACCGTATGGCTATCAGTAACGTATGGCTATCAGTACCGTATGGCTATCAGTATCGTATGGCTATCAGTATCGTATGGCTATCAGTACCGAAGGCTATCAGTACCGTATGGCTATCATAACCCTATGGCTATCAGTATCGTATGTCTATCAGTATCATGTGGCTATCAGTACCGTATGGCTATCAGTACCGTGTGGCTATCAGTACCGTATGGCTATCGGTACCGTATGGCTATCAGTATCGTATGTCTATCAGTATCGTATGGCTATCAGTATCGTATGGCTATCGGTACCGTATGGCTATCAGTACCATATGACTATCAGTACCGTATGTCTATCAGTACCGTATTTCTATCAGTATCATGTGGCTATCAGTACCGTATGGCTATCAGTACCGTGTGGCTATCAGTACCGTATGGCTATCGGTACCGTATGGCTATCAGTATCGTATGTCTATCAGTATCGTATGGCTATCAGTATCGTATGTCTATCAGTATCGTATGGCTATCAGTATCGTATGGCTATCGGTACCGTATGGCTATCAGTACCATATGACTATCAGTACCGTATGGCTATCAGTACCTTATGACTATCAGTACCGTATGTCTATCAGTATTGTATGGGTCATACGTCTAAGACAAATATGCCATCCCTGTCTCCTATACTTGAACATGGACTAGTGATATTCCTCTCTCCTATACTTGAACGTGGACCAGTGACATTCCTGTCTCCAATACTTGAACATGGACCAGTGACATTCCTCTCTCCTATACTTGAACATGGACCAGTGACATTCCTGTCTCCTATACTTGAACATGGACCACTGACATATGTCCTTTACTTGAACATGGACCAGTGACATTCCTCTCTCCTATACTTGGACATGGACCAGTGACATTCCTGTCTCCTATACTTGAACATGGACCATTGACATTCCTGTCTCCTATACTTGAACATGGACCAGTGACATTCCTCTCTCCTATACTTGGACATGGACCAGTGACATTCCTCTCTCCTATACTTGGACATGGACCATTGACATTCCTGTCTCCTATACTTGAACATGGACCAGTGACATCCCTGTCTCCTATACTTGAACATGGACCATTGACATTCCTGTCTCCTATACTTGAACATGGACCAGTGACATTCCTGTCTCCTATACTTGAACATGGACCAGTGACATCCCTGTCTCCTATACTTGAACATGGACCATTGACATTCCTGTCTCCTATACTTGAACATGGACCAGTGACATTCCTGTCTCCTATACTTGAACATGGACCAGTGACATTCCTGTCTCCTATACTTGAACATGGACCAGTGACATTCCTGTCTCCTATACTTGAACATGGACCAGTGACATTCCTGTCTCCTATACTTGAACATGGACCATTGACATTCCTGTCTCCTATACTTGAACGTAGACTATCGACATTCCTGTCTCCTACACTTGAACATGGACCATTGACATTCCTGTCTCCTATACTTGAACATGGACCAGTGACATTCCTGTCTCCTATACTTGAACATGGACCAGTGACATTCCTGTCTCCTATACCTGAACATGGACCATTGACATTCCTGTCTCCTATACTTTAACATGGACCAGTGACATTCCTGTCTCCTATACTTGAACATGGACCAGTGACATATGTCCTTTACTTGAACATGGACCAGTGACATTCCTGTCTCCTATACTTGAACGTAGACTATCGACATTCACTTCTCCTATACTTGAACATGGACCAGTGACATTCCTGTCTCCTATACTTGAACGTAGACTATCGACATTCACTTCTCCTATACTTGAACATGGACCAGTGACATTCCTGTCTCCTATACTTGAACGTAGACTATCGACATTCCTGTCTCCTATACTTGAACGTAGACTATCGACATTCACTTCTATCTCCTAAAGAAAGGCTGCTGTAGCTCAAGTGCCAATCACGTCGCCGTGGGGTTTATATAATGCCGGTCCCGAAACCGCGAACAGTTAATCTTTTCCAGCAGTCCACCAACTTACGCGAATGTATTCAAGGTGCCTGGTCACCAACTCATAAAAGCAGCAACAAGTCTGAGAAAATTAGTGGATAAACATGCGGTGTTGTCATTGTAGGGCTAAGGTTACCAGTAGATTCAACTTTGAATGTGGGACCGAACGCGCAGCGTGAAGTTTTAAATATTGTTTTGGAGCCCGTATAAATCTAAAGGGCGTTTATCTTTATTCCACCATGGCGAAAGAAAACGCGAATTCTTTGGTGTCATTAAATATATTGAGTGAAGCGCTGCAAATGGCCAAGCGGTTTACACCATAATACTTCATTCGAACATGTCATTCATTGAAAGCAGGTAGCATAGCAACTTCGTAGGCTGAGCATGAGGTGGGTATCCCTAAAAAAACTGAGCAAGCCTCGCAAGGCTTCGTTCTACACCGCACGTCACGTCACTATTGTAACGTCAAATCGCTCATTGTGACGCCAAATATATGACTAGACAGCTCTGTTGTCCGCAAAAGTTGAAATACTTCCTCTTTGCAGATTCTATGTATTTACTGCACAAAAGACATTGCAACATATAATTGTACAAATAATTATTTAAAAGAAGAACTAATATTCAATAAATATTAATTTCTGCGGTGACGCAGGCGTCAAATCGGTTGTTTCAATCAGAGAGTGTTTATTGTGAGTGGATACCTCTGATTGAAGAATCAGAATCGAGTAATTCCAAATTCATGGCAGAATGATAGATATTTCTTTCTCAAATGAATGGAAGACACCAGCTCTCATTAGACATCATGGATTGCTTGGGAATGTCCTGGAACTGTTTCCTTGAATAACATAACTTTAGAAAATCAATGTTGATGGATTTTTCGTTTCGTTTCAGAAATCTCAATGAGAATGAAATAAAGAAGCTCCCATCCCATGCATTCGCTAACAACACCAAGCTAAGTATCCTGTGAGTTCCTTCAAACGTTGTTTTGGTCTCTCTGTCATATTGTGTGTGCGTGCTTGCGTGCGCTTCTCACTGTGCGTCTCTGTTTCGCCGGACCGCCTCCGTGGTCTAGTGGTAGAGCGTCCGCCCGGAGAGCGGAAGGTCCGGAGCTTGATCCCCGGCCGCGTCATACAAAAAGACGTTAAAAGATTGTACTTGTTGTTACCCTGCCTGGCGCTCGGCATTAAGGGCTAAAACAAGGACCGGTCGGCTCGGAGGCAGCATACTATGTTTTATTAGGGTATTCGTGTAAAACTGCGGCATGGTATCTCATTTGGACTTGCACTATAAATCGGCATCAGTCCGGACTAGTACAAGAAGTACAAGCAATTCTTAAAATGAATAAAACAGGGTCAACCTTGTACGACACTCGTGTGACGTACGGATTTAGTTTCTTACCACCCGTATCTTCACCACGTGGGTAATAATTCTTTATAACCTTCTGCGTTTCTCTGTGTAACCGTGTGTCTTTCGTCTTCCCGTGTATTACTCTATAACTTCTGTATGAGAGATGAAATAATCGATCCTCGGCTAGACAAACCAGTGTTTAATATTATTAGTTATCTCCCATGTCTTCGGAGTACGATCCCATGCAATCGACCAGGGCCCACTTGCACAAAGCGATCTTAGCGCTACGACTATTGTAAGCCTATGTTAAAGTATGGGAGTAACGATCATCTTAGCGCTAAGATCGCTTTGTGCAAGTGGGCCCAGGTCAACGAGTCTGGTCACCCTACCAAGTTAAGTCGACTCTTACGTGCTTGGGACCGTATCAAACCAGTGTCCAAATAGGGTTCAATAATAGATAAACTCATTAAAGTGGACTAGTGGTTGAGGCTCTCGCTCTTCACGCCGAAAGCCCAATCTCATGAAAATCAGATCTTAGTTCTCGCTACCGCTAAACAAAGGATCTGAGGACATCCCATTACGGGTCACGTCAGACCGACCTTGCGCGAACTTTGACGACCAATGGAATAACCAATCAGAAGGCAGCTTCCTCGTGATTTACGGCACTAATGTCAAAATGGCGACTACGCTTCGAAACATATTTTGACAATTTCTCGATTACAAATTTGAAACCTGAACAAAAGAGCATTCTGGAATGGCTAATAGATGGTCTAGATTGTATGGATTCAGTCGTTAAACCCGTAACTATCGTTCGGAGTTGAAGCTTTCGAGGTTGCATGATTAGAAATCACATTCCGACTGTCACTTTCATAATCTGGTAAGCGATGCTCTGATTGGTCGGATGAAAGGTCGTTCTGACGTGACCCGTAATGGGATGTCCTCAGAGTTTAGAGGTAGCGAGAACTAAGATCAGATTTTTATGAGATTGGCCGAAAGCCAGGTTTGATTTCACCCATGATAACATGAAAGAAGCGTCGTTATTTTGCTGGAATATTGCTTAAAAGCGGCATAAAACCATACTCATTCACGCATACTAGAAGGCACGGATGGAACAGGCAACTTAGACGTTACAGGTAACTGCTGTGTTACGTCCGTTAGGCATGTAACGGTTACATCTACAATTACCAAGTAAACGAGGGGTGGGGTGTGTGAAAGAATCAGTGGTACGCTATTTATTTCCTGACATGCGCACATCGGTGTCTGAAACTTCTCCTTCCTTCATTTACAGACTGCTGGCTGACAACATGATCGAGGACGTCAGTGATGACGCATTTGTGGGACTCTCCGATCTGAGGATATTGTAAGTGTTGTTCACATATTCTGATAAATAATTAGAATAAATATAATAAAACGTGTTTTTGGAGATAACTGTGAAAATTTGACGCGTAGGCATTGTTATGCATAGATTTCATTTCGCATAATCTGTATGTGGGTTAATGACATACTTGCAACACAATGACAACGCTCCGTGATGTTTAGGCTTTCATTACGCTTCGCCAATGTTGTACGGTTGAACACAATACAGAGTTGAACCTCGTTAATCTGGACCATGTTTCACCTCGGATAACCAAGTTTCCAGATCAGTAATACATTAACGCTTTACAGTTAAGTTTAAAAAAGATAGTTTAGAAGGTAACTTGTAAGCTGCCCATATAAGCAAGGAATATACTGCTCTCTCTCTTTGTGTCTCTCTCGCTCTCTCTCTGTCTCTCTTTTTCAGTGTCTCTCTCGCTCTCTCTCTCTTTCTGTCTGTCTCTCTCTATGTCTCTCTCGCTCTCTCTCTGTCTCTCTTTCTCAGTGTCTCTCTCGCTCTTTCTGTGTCTCTCGCTCTCTCTCTTTCTGTCTGTCTCTCTCTGTGTCTCTCTCGCTCTCTCTGTCTCTTTCTCAGTGTCTCTCTCGCTCTCTTTCTGTGTCTCTCTCGCTCTCTCTCTCTCTTTCTGTCTGTCTCTCTCGCTCTCTCTCTGTCTCTCTTTCTCAGTGTCTCTCTCGCTCTCTTTCTGTGTCTTTCTCGCTCTCTCTCTTTCTGTCTGTCTCTCTCTGTGTCTCTCTCGCTCTCTCTGTCTCTCTTTCTCAGTGTCTCTCTCGCTCTCTTTCTGTGTCTCTCTCGCTCTCTCTCTCTCTTTCTGTCTGTCTCTTTGTCTATCTCGCTCTCTGTCTCTCTTTCTGTCTGTCTCTCTCTCTCTCTCTCTCATTTCTTCCCTCTCTCTTTTCAGGGACTTCCAGCGGAACAGAATGAAGCACATCCCTGTGGCCTTCAGGGCTCTCACTGCCCTGGAAGAACTGTGAGTAGTGGGCACACAGTCAAACCTTAACTCCACGTCTTTGGAACTGTTGATAATAGACGACACAATAAACTCGTCAATAAGAATATTTTGAGATTTCGTTTCTAACTTTGTTTCTCAATACAAAACAAAGGAGCCCAGAAAATGTCTTCATATTCAATCTGAGCCTGAAGATATCCAGATATAAGTGTTCCGTCATACAAATGATACATGTTTATACGTTTATGCACTTTAAAGCTCAATGCACTCCTATTGCATTCCCCTAGCTGGTATAAATGTTGTGTTTCGACATTGTCCTCCTGAACATCAGTGAAATATATTCAACTTACTGCAGCGTGACGACAGCTGCACATGGTGATGTGTTGTTATTGTTACTATAGCAACATCGACGACAACCGGGTGGAATATCTACACGACTACAGCTTCAAGAGAAACCGGGAGATGAAGATGCTGCAGCTGAAGGGGAACCCTATCACAGACGTCGGCACTCACGCCTTCAGTGATCTCCCTCGACTCGGGAAGATGTGAGCGCCTGTTTAATGCCCAATGTCGGGGCTGAGCTGGGGCGGTGGGGTAACTAAGTGTTAATCGTTCGAGCGACACGCGGAAGAATCGGGTTCGATTCCCGACATGGGAACAATGTGTGAAGCTCCTATCTGGTGTCATTCGCTGTGATATTACTGGAATATTACTAAAAAACAGAGTTAGGCAATGGTCACTCACACCAGCCAGAGATTTTCAGTTATGGGAATGGTACGGGGATGTGGGGTCAGGGATCAGGGATCACCTGGATCGGGGCGGAAGATAGGGAATAGGATGGAAAATGGGTTAATTAGACTGCAGGTTAGTCTGTTTACTCCCTACTGCAAAGTCCTGAGTTCAGTCTCTCTCTCTCTCTCTCTCTCTCTCTCTCTCTCTCTCTTTGTCTCTCTCTGTGTGTTTGTTGCGTAACGCCGCACTCAGCAATGTTCCGGTTGTATAACTGCTGCCTGTTAGTAATCGAGTCATTTTAACGGGCATTTAACCAAGTCGCCGAGACTGACCACCCGGTCCACTTGGTCGCCTGATTAGGGATCAATTCCAACCCGGAATCCCCATGGGTATAATTTCTCAAATGGTGTGGTACCTGCTACTGGTGGCTTAAACCATTTCAGTTGTATTGCCTTGTATGGAAACCTAGAATCAAACTATGTCGCGTTGTGGCATTTCGCCCAATCTACAATGTGTTTAAAAGGCCTTAATATTTGCGGCAATGCGACAACGCAACATAGTTTGACCTTGAAAAAGTGTTCTTTGCCGCCTTGTCGCCGGTAAAAGTCAAACATATTATTCAAAGCGCGACAATGCGGCAATTGGTCAAAATGTCGCGTTGTCGCATTGTCGCTCTATAAATAATTGTGACACTTTTTGCTTTTTTCGTATCAGCGACAATGTCCCTACATGGATTCAATAGCTTTGTGGTAACTGGAGGGGCATTTTGATACAGGGCAAACCAAGGAAATACAGACCTGGAGTGAGTGAGTGAGTTGGGTTTAACGCCGCTTTTAACAGTATTCCAGTTATATCGCGGCTATATCGCGGCGTGTCAGCTTAATGTGGGAGGAAAGCCCGAAGTGATGCAGGTCTAAGACGTTTACCACTTCGGTGAAACCCAGGAGCACGGGTATGGTGCTGACAAACCTAGAAACATAATCGGGGCGAACCGGGATTTGAACCCACAATCATAGGTTTCTGGCGTGCCCAAGGGACGCAACTCTGCACAGCGAATCGCGGCGCCTTAGACGACTGGGCCACCCGTGCCCACCCCCAGACCTGGAAGAGAGTGATCAGCTAATCAGAGGATACGCGCAGGTTGTAGTCAAAGGAGTGAATGAGTATAGTTTTATACCGCTTTTAGCATCATTCCAGTAACATCACGGCGGGGGACATCAGAATGGGCTTTACGCCTTGTGGGGAATCGAACCCGGGTCTTCGGCATGACGAGCGAGCGCTTTAACGACTAAGCTACTCCACCGCCCCTGTAGTTAAAGAGCTCATCGAGATTTACTCCAAGCCTGGAACACGTGGCCTAAATACTAGTACTTTACAGATGCATTCTGCAAAATACACCGGTGTAAACTACCAATTAGTAATAAAAATATCACAATGGAACCTTCGTTTAAGGATTAAGCATCGGCTGGAATGAGCGTTTGATGACTACCTTTAATAGTCCACATTTGTGTTTCGAATGACTAACCATTAAGGATTTTACGAGCGCTTGTTAGTTTTCATTATTCTTGGGTTTTCTTGTCTTCGCCATCCGCCGACCAACTGTGTGAGTGTGTGGGTTAAACGCCAATGTCAGCATCATTTCACTGATGTCCCAACGGGTAATAGCAAAGTCTGGGGGATGCTGAGGCAGGTCGTACATACGAGTACGTAACCTTTCCCTCTGGTTCCCACGAGCATGGGTCCGGTTTCAGCCAAATCCTTGATTCTAGCCAGTGCTAGCCCGCGTGTGATAACCTGGGATTCTAACCGATGCTATCACATGCCCCATAGAATATGCCAGACATATGCCTTGTTGTGAACTATTAAACTCTGATTTGGTTTCTGAGCGGGACAATAATTCTCTTCCACCAAGCAACAAAACAAAAGGCTGCACGTCTTTTCGAGTTAATGAACGTCACGTGACAAAGCCTAAGTTAACCTCAGCTCAATCAAACAGTTATTTTCTGTCAAATTTCAATTTCTTTAAAAACTTTTACAATAGCAGATTGAAACATGTCGGCGAGATAAATTCACTGTAGCAGTATCACTCGAGGTATTTGTGATACAGCTATAGCCTATATTATGAGATTTTATTTATAATCCGTTATAGCATTAATTTGCAGACCCGTAAACATCCGGGTAAGAATAGGTCTTCAGCTACCCATGCTTGCCGTAATAGGCGACTATGCTTGCCGTAATAGGCGACTATGCTTGTCGAAAGAGGCGACTAACGGGATCGGGTGGTCAGGCTCGCTGACTTGGTTGATGCATTTCATCGTATCCCAATTGCGTAGATCGATGCTAATGGTGTCAATCACTGGATTGTTAGGTCCAGATTTGATAAGTCACTGACCGCCGCCATAAAGCTGGAATATTGCTGAGAAAATTGATGTGCAATCACACTTTGCATTTTACATGGATGGGTTCAGTTCTAAGTGGCTGACCCCCTTTCGTCCGTGTCACTATGGAACTACTCGGTCCTCTAGTGAAGAGAATTGATTAATTCAACAAAGTCCCGTCCATACAATCCCTTTTCTTGGTGAGTCGCCAAAAGTGGCAGGATCCGGATTAATGAGGTCTCGTTTTATTCGATGTTAGTTTATGTACTCTCCTGTGTTGCAGTACATTGTCTGAGGCACGTGACATGACGGAATTTCCCGAACTGAACAACACCTCAAATTTGGAGTTCCTTCGGTTTGACCGAGCAAGTATCAAGGTCATCCCCAACAACCTCTGTCCCAGACTGAGAATACTGAAGAGTCTGTAAGTAACGCAACACCAGGTGTTCACATGATACCATAGCACCATTCTGGCACCACGTATACAGTATCATACCACCAGAATGGCACCATTCTTGACGCCATCTTGACACCGGGAACGAAAGTCTGATTGAAGACTATATGGCATGCGAGCTGGTGAAGAACACATAGAACAGACGGATCTTCAGCAACCGATGCTTGTCGTAAGAGGCGACTATAGAACACATAGCACAGACGGGTCTTCAGCAACCGATGCTTGTCGTAAGAGGCGACTATAGAACACATAGAACAGACAGGTTTTCAGCAACCGGTGCTTGTCGTAAGAGGCGACTATAGTCCACGCCGTTTGAAATAGAATCACGATCTATCGCGTTGATTAATTAACGAAGATAGCGTGTGTGCTAATACTTATAAAGTAAAAACAAGTCATTTCGCCGATAAGTAATATCACTTACAGTAATGACGAAAAATGCAGAGTGCACTTTTCAAGAAATATCTATTTTCTTAGCGATAAACATCATCATAATTCTATTTCAAATGTCTAGGACTATTATAAGATGGAGTGGTCAGGCTCGTTGACTTTGTTCATGCATGACATCGTATCCAAAAGTCGTAGATCGATGCTCATGACGTCAATTACTGGATTGTCTGGTCCAGATGTGATTATTTACAGACCGCCATCATATAGCTTGACTATTGATGAGCGCGACGTTCAACAACAAACAAAATAACACATGGTCACATTCACAGGAGGACACACATTGCACATGTTTCTTCAGTAAACTGAACGTGTGGCTCAGTGGAGTTTCGTTAAAAGAACAGATGGCGTACGCTTCTTTCACCATGTTCACAAAATAGGCCCATTAACATTGAATTGATTGATAAATATGCTCGAGGTGACCCAAAATGAATTACATATTTGCCCCGGACATGCAGTCCATAGCCTTAATTTCTTGGCTTAATTTGTGCTTAATCTTTATAATAACGCGTCAAATGTTTCATGTTTCAGGGATGTACACTCAAATCGAGTTTCCGAGATTCCGAATCTTTCCAACTGCTCTCATCTCCTCAGCCTGTGAGTATAGTGTGGCATCATTGATGAGTAGGTGGGTAAGTTGTGGAGACGGGAGCCGAGTCGGGGATCGTGTGCAGAGTTCTGTCTCTTTGCTGCCAGATCTGTGGGTGATGACCAGGTACACACGACAATGACTCGGTTTGCAGACTCCGTACCCTAACTCTTGGTGTCATCGAAGTCGCAAATATCTGCAACCAGAGACCCTGACACGACGAAATGCCAGAATATCTCTGCTTCATGTTCAGTTTTCCTCCGCGGTTAATATTATCTGTTATATAACCGAAATGACCCGTGAAGATCCGGGTCGAGAATAGGTGTCCAGCAACCAATGCTTGCCGTAAGGCGACTAACGGGATCGGGTGGTCAGGCTCGCTGACTTGGTTGGTGCATGTTATCGTATCCCAATTGCGTGAATCGATGCTCATGTCAGAGACTGGATTGTCTGGTCCAGACTCGATTGTTTACAGACCGCGGCCATACAGCTTCAATATTGCCGAGTGCGACGTTAAAAAACAAATTATATACCTAGTCATTTCACTGGGTCTTTGGAATTGGTTAAACCATGACCGTATACTTGACTAATAAGACATCCCAGCATTCGCTTCAGTAAACAGCTGTATGTTGATGTAAATTTGTAACAATACGTAAAGATTGATTTTCTGCAATATTGTTGTCTCAGTAATCTTGGCAACAACGAGATCACCAGTCTGCAGGGCAAACCGTTCCGTGGCCTCCGTCAGCTGACGGACCTTGTGTTGGTTCACAACTATGTCACATATATACCAGCCGATGCGTTCACTGGCCTTCACCGCTTGCTGTACCTGTACGTCGTCTTTTATCACCTTTTTATCATGGTTTTATCATGGTTTATCATGGTTAGATTGTTCAGGTTTCTGATCATTTAAAAATAAATGATGTGGCGATACAATGTATTTGTAATTTGAATTATGTGTTAGTGGTTCATTCATATTAAATTCAAATCTTTTTTTCCCTTTACGCCAAATGGAATCTGTCAGCCGATATTCTAGACTGGTTATTCTCTTGCATTGGCAATTTATTTGACCGTATTCGACGATATTTGCTAATATATTAGCTAGTGAACAATCCCAATAAGCCCCCTTTCCGATTGATCAATGTACACAAGACTTATTTATTCGTGTATAATACACACTCGTGTGTTATATGCACCCTTAATTATGGGCAATGGACTTCTGGGAAAATATATCTGTCGTATGTAAACATTTAAGGCTGTCAGAATAAACTACGATCTTTCAACTTCAACCAAAATAATATTCTAAAATGAGCTCCCTACTTCTAATTTTGAGTGCGCCCTGGGCGTTTATTACGTCGAATACGGTATGTTAATGACTTAACTCTTAACTTTGCATTCAGAAAGTTGGAATCGAAACGAAATTATTACTTCAGGGTCAATTTCTTTAGTCGGGCGGTGATGACTTAATTGACTTTGTTGAATGAGAAGACTGACGACTGTTCTGTGCTCTGTGTTCCAGAGACCTGGCTTTCAACAGAATCACAGAGATCCACATGGAGGCATTTGTTCCCCTCAACTCCCTGGAGGACCTGTAAGTACCTACCAACCCGTGAAGATCCGGGGTAGAATAGGTCTTCAGCAACCCATGATTGCCGTATAGGCGACCATGCTTATCGTTAGAGGCGACTAACGGGATCGGGTGGTCAGGCTGGCTGACTTGGTTGATGCATGTCATCATATCCAAATGCTCATGATATCAATCACTGGATTGTCTGGTTCAGACTCGATTATTTACAGACCGCCGTCATATAGCTGGAATATTGCTGAGTGCGGCGTAAAACAACAAACCAACCAATCATTACCTCGCTTTACAACTTCAGCGGCATGTCTTCACTTTGATGTCTTCAGCGAGTTTTGAAGCGTCTACCTTGATCACGACATGAAACGCGTGGTTGCGTATTATAGGGGCGTGGGATATAGTCAAGGAAACATACGAGGGGCGTTCAATGAGTTTTGCAACTTCAATATAAGACCAAGTCGCAGAATATCTTTTGCCCTTTTATTTTTCAAAATAATCTCCATTCACCTCAATACACTTATTCCATTTGTCACTGGGGCTAAGTCTGGGCTGTAGGGTGGGTGATTTAACTGTTCGAACCCAGACTTTTCCACCAGTGACTATTTCCTGTTCCGACAAATGTAATCTGCCCTACATGGAATACGCTTCCAGGATGACGAGTACATAAAGGCTGCCACAGAGGCGTGGTTAGAGGGCCAATCTGCGGATTTCTATAAAAGTTGTATTAAAAGCTTGAAGGGAAAATGGAATAAGTGTATTGAGGTGATGATATGGAGATTATATTGAAAAATAAAAGTGCAAAAGATATTCTGCGACTTGGTCTTATATTGAAGTTGCAAAGCTTATTGAACGTCCCCCGTACAAGAGGTCAAAGGTTATGACCACCACTGGTAGAAGGAGAGAAGGGTCGGGAAAGAGAAGAAGAGAAGGGTCGGGAAGGAGAGGGAGAGAAGGGTCGGGGAGGAGAAGGAGAGAAGGGTCGGGAAAGAGAAGAAGAGAAGGGTCGGGGAGGAGAAGGAGAGAAGGGTCGGGAAAGAGAAGAAGAGAAGGGTCGGGAAGGAGAGGGAGAGAAGGGTCGGGAAAGAGAAGAAGAGAAGGGTCGGGAAGGAGAAGGAGAGAAGGGTCGGGAAGGAGAGGGAGAGAAGGGTCGGGAAGGAGAAGAAGAGAAGGGTCGGGAAGGAGAAGGAGAGAAGGGTCGGGAAAGAGAAGAAGAGAGGGTCGGGAAGGAGAGGGAGAGAAGGGTCGGGAAGGAGAAGGAGAGAAGGGTCGGGAAAGAGAAGAAGAGAAGGGTCGGGAAGGAGAAGGAGAGAAGGGTCGGGAAGGAGAAGGAGAGAAGGGTCGGGAAAGAGAAGAAGAGAAGGGTCGGGAAGGAGAGGGAGAGAAGGGGCGGGAAGGAGAAGGAGAGAAGGGTCGGGAAGAAGAAGGAGAGAAGGGTCGGGAAAGAGAAGGAGAGAAGGGTCGGGAAGGAGAAGGAGAGAAGGGTCGGGAAGAAGGAGAAGAGAAGGGACGGGAAGGAGAGGGAAAGAAGGGTCGGTAACGAGAAGGAGAGAGAAGGGTCGGGAAGGTGCAGGGGTGGGGGGTTTATTGACAGGGGATCCAGTACCCTCTGCTTGTTTCAGAAACGTGGGGGAGAATCACATCCCCGTGTTGCCGACGGAGGGACTGAGAAACCTGACGAAGCTGAAGACCTACCACAACACAGAGCTGAGAGAGTTCCCGCCCAAGGAGACATTCCCCAAGATCGAGCTTCTCATCTTGTCATACGCCTATCACTGCTGTGACTTTCTTGAAACTGAGGTGAGGCATATATTCATATATATCAATCTCATTAAAATCAGACCTAAGTTCTCGCTGCCGCTAAACAAAGATCTGAGGACATACCATTACGGGTCACGTCAGAACGACCTTTCGCGAACTTTGACCGACCACTGAAATGACATACAAGAAGTCGACATCAGCCAATTAAAAAGCAGCTTTCTCGAGCTTTACGGCACTCGTTTCAACCTGGCGACTACGCTTGAAAAATATGTTGACACAGTTCTCGATTAAAATTTTGAAAACTGAACAAACGAACATTCCGGAATGTCTAATATATGGTTAAGATTGTATGGCAGTGCTTTCAACGTACATGTGCAACGACTCCACCGTTCAAATGTTTATCCCACGGAAGCGAGAGATAGACGATGATTTTGACGGAATCTGTCGTTCGGAATACCCCGTGTTAACGTTTTCGAGGTTGCAAGATTAGACTGTCACTTTCATGATCTGGTAGGCGACGCTTTGATTGGTCGGGTGAAAGGTCGTTATGACATGACCCGTAATGGGATGTCCGCAGATCTTTGTTTAGCCATAGCGAGAGCTAAGATCTGATTTTAATGAGATTAATGATTTATGACTCTGCTGGTCGGGGTTCGAATCCTATATTCTCCATCATGATCCGTGGCTTCAGACACCAAACCAGTGTAATTAGTGCGATCAGTATATGGGATATACCTTTAATAATACCGGTGGTGGTGGGTTTTTAATAATACCGGTGGTGGTGGGTTTTCAATGATACCCGTGCTGGTGGGTTTTTAATAATACCGGTGCTGGTGGGTTTTTAATAATACCGGTGCTGATGGTTTTTTAATAATACCGGTGCTAGTGGTTTTTTAATAATACCGGTGCTGATGGGTTTTTAACAATACCGGTGCTGGTGTGTTTTTAATAATACCGATGCTGGAGGGTTTTTAACAATACCGGTGCTGGTGTGTTTTTAATAATACCGGTGCTGGTGTGTTTTTAATAATACCGGTGCTAGTGGGTTTTTAATAATACCGGTGCTGGTGTGTTTTTAATAATACCGGTGCTAGTGGGTTTTTAATAATACCGGTGCTGGTGGGTTTTTAACAATACCGTTGCTGGTGTGTTTTTAATAATACCGATGCTGGAGGTTTTTTTTAACAATACCGGTGCTGGAGGTTTTTTTTAACAATACCGGTGCTGGTAGGTTTTTAATAATTCCGGTGCTAGTGGGTTTTTAATAATACCGGTGCTGGTGGGTTTTTGACAATACCGTTGCTGGTGGGTTTTTAATAATACCGATGCTGGAGGGTTACTAATAATACCGGTGCTGGTGTGTTTTTAATAATACCGATGCTGGAGGTTTTTTTTAACAATACCGGTGCTGGAGTTTTTTTTTTAACAATACCGGTGCTGGTAGGCTTTTAATAATACCGGTGCTAGTGGGTTTTTAATAATACCGGTGCTGGTAGGTTTTTGACAATACCGTTGCTGGTGGGTTTTTTATGATACCGATGCTGGAGGGTTTCTAATAATACCGGTGCTGGTGGGTTTTTAATAATACCGATGCTGGAGGGTTTTTAATAATACCGGTGCTTGTTGGTTTAATAATAATACTGGTGCTTGTGGGGTTCATCAAATTGGTCAACTCCGACGACCTGCATCACTTTGGGCCTTCGTGCCACAAGCTGACAGACACACTGTTCCAGACGGCGTCAAACACAACTGACTCTGTGTGTTGCAGACTGATCACAGCCAGGTGGAGCTGAAGGAGGACATTGTGTGGCTGAAGACCGGGAACATCAACATGGGAGCCTGGGATCCAACCGACGGCAACAGGACGTTTTGGAACAGCTTGCGTAGGTTTCTCATCCTATCCCCATTATGACGTCATTGTGCGCCACATTCCGCAGTGAGTTGTATCCCTTGCCCATGTCAGGATCCGCTGACCGTTGAAACCCGATTAGGATCCTTGGGCTAGTTTCATGCACGTACTCGTAGAAAACCTATATGGCCTGCATCAATCATGGCTTTTATCCAATATTTAACGGACTCGCCTGGCGATAAGTGGACTACAGCTGAAACAGACGCGAAACCCATCTCACGCATATAACACCCGTAGTCTATTTGCACCTTCCCCCTAAAAAGAAAAAATATATATTAAAAAACAACAACAAAGAAACCGACAACGGTGGTGATTGTATATATGATGAGTATACACTATATCAATATTTAAAACACATCTGTGACGTCATTCTATTGTTTGAACGCTCCATTATTTTTCAGGAATGGAGAGTTGCTTGTCAACTGTACATTACCTTGAAGCAGCATTTGAATTTTTCAAATATTTTCAACTACAGAATATTTTGTCAAAGTGTAAAAGTAGGGATGAGTTTTAAGTAGGGGAATATCCTCGTAACTCTCCATTCCTTAAAAATAATAGGCCTCGGCCTCTGCGGGGCCTCTGCTCCATTATTTTTAAGGAATGGAGAGTTTCTCGGACATTCCCCTCTACGTAAACAAGTAAGAAGGTAAGTAATAGAAGCAGCAGTGGGATGGGGTTAGATTAGGACCTCGGCACTCTATTGCTTAGTCTAAATTGGATCGAGCGCCAGGCTCTGTGACTTCACTTGTTGATTGTGTCATAGGATCTCGACGTTATGGGACGTTGCTCGTAATAATAACCCCTGGATGGGCTGGCCCAGACTGGATTATTTACAGGCCGCCATGATACAGTTGGAATAGTGCGGGGTTAAAACGACTAACACGATGACTTCTGATGTTCATTTCACAGACAACAACAACATCTACGTCGGCAACGACGACACCTTCGACGTCGGTCAATACGGTGACTACGATCCGTGGCCGTATAACACTACGCTCAACGCCGATACGTATTTACAGAACTACAAAACTGAAGAATTCGACCTCGACCTTGGACTAGCCAAGCCACCTATCACGTGCAAACCAAAACCAGGTACGAATTTATTCAACAGAACCATTTCAATAGAACACAAAATGTGGGACCCTGTGAAGGTCCAGGTTTGAATTGGTCTTCAGAAACACCATGCTTGTCATTAGAGGAGAGGGGCACGGTTGGTCCAGTCGTCTAAGGCGCCGCGATTCGCTGTGCAGAGTTGCGTCCCTTGGGCACGCCAGAAACCTATGATTATGGGTTCGAATCACGGTTCTCCCCGATTATGTTTCTAGGTTTGTCAGCACCATACCCGTGCTCGTGGGTTTCAACAAAGTGGTAAACGTCTGAGACCTGCATCACTTTTGGCTTCCCTCCCACATTAGCTGACACGCCGTGATATAACTGTAATACAGTTAAAAGCGGCGTTAAACCCAACTCACTCACTCACTCACTCATTTGAGGAGACTAACAGGATTGGGTGGTCAGGCTCGATGACTTGGTTAATGCATGTCATCGTATCCTATTGCTTAGATGTGAAGCCCATTTCTGGTGTCCCCCGCCGTGATAGTGCTGGAATATTGCTAAAAGCGGCGTAAAATCATACTCACTCACTTACTATTGCTTAGATATTGTCATTTACTTGATTGTCTAGACCGCGGTCATGAAGCTGAAGTATTGTTGAGTGCGGAAGTAACAGCTCTCCTATACACTTGACAGCCACCCTAGACTTCATTGCCTGGTTCTCATATCTCTTACGCTTATGCCGAACAGATAATAAACAAAATCTGAGGCTTATGTCTCCGTCGGAGTTACCAACGTGACCCCGTTGGGATTTCAGGTTAGAATAGATCCCTCGCGACTTGGGCTGCAACGATACAGGAAGGTCACGATACGTATCTCGATATTCTGGTCACGATATGATACTATTTGCAGCCCAAGTTGTTGTTTCGTTGCGTATCGAGATACGTATGATACGTATCTCGATATTCTGGTCACGATATGATACTATCATATCGTGACCAGAATATCGAGATACGTATGATACGTATCTCGATACGCAACGAAACAACAACCAAAAGAAACAGAAACAGATAACTATGGAAGCGCATTAGTGCCACCGTCTAATTTGTTTTTATTATCTTCGTAGATGATACTTAAATCTACGTAGATGATACTTACGTCTACGCAGATGATACTTTTATTTACGTAGATGATACTTTCATACATATAATCTTGTGCAGTTGCGACCCCAGTTGGATACAAACATTTATATTTTAATAAAGGTGATTACCGAATTACTGTTCATTTAATTAAATGTTTGGGAGCATGTTGGTTGTTTATTTTCAACGTGTCAAACTATTAGCCCTAAAATAAAAACACAGAACTATAGTGCTTTATAGGATGATGACGAGTATTAGTTTGATATCGGTTTATACTTTATACACCCCTCCATTTTCACGTTTTACCTCTTAAACCTAACTTCCGTCATGGAGAAATCTTGAGGAGCAACATATTCCTCCGGCTTTAACCATGTCATGGTTGATATATAATTTCGCTTTGAATAATGACCTATAGCTGTTTAATTGTTTGTAGTTTGGAGAACATTTTATGCTCTCCTCTTTTTATTACGGTTGTAGATGATACTTTCATCTACGTAGATAATATTTTTTAGACTGTGGCACTGATACGCTTCCTAAGATAACAGTACTCCAGCTTTTATTAAGTTTTAAGTCTTCAAGCATGCCAAGCTTGGACCTTTTATGATTTTGGAACAGTCAAAAAAATCTTTATGATAACAAGACTACTGAAGTTGTTTACCTTCAAAGTTGATTTTTTTTAACTTTCCTTCAAAACACTTCGAATTTCAAAACACCAGAAAATCATCAATGTACTTCACAGTCTGTATAGTTCAACTTCGGGTTCTTTTTCAGTAAAATTAAAATGTGAACATTGTCAGACACTGACATTGTCTCTTGCTGTTGAGTCTTAACGGAGGTGGAGTCGTAGGGGGTAGATGACCAACACAACAGTACATGCTCTGGTTACCTCAAACGATCTACAAAGTGCGTTTCAGAGTTTGAAAAAAAGATAAGAATAGTAGTTGTTTATGATTCATAGTGTAAACAAAGATTTATCGAGTGTTAGGCGCTTTAAAAAAACGCACATCGTCGTCCCTTCAACGAATTCATTTGAACGAACAGGTATTACATTGTCAATAAAAAATATATATAATTTGATATAAAACATCACTAGACATGATTTACCATTTAAATTGTATTTCATCCTCTCCAACGGTGATTCAGTTAAAGGAACCAATGATGCAACTTCAAAGAATTTGATGCAACGGTCAGAAGAATTTGTATCTGAAATTATCATTTTATCAGAGACAATTTATTCCAATATCGTGTTATTTTAGTTGCAGCTTACATTACTATATTCCTAAAATTGTAAGAAGCATTAGCGTAGCACTTTGCTATTGCTGATTGCTATTGTAGGATATTTTTAGGCATGGAACAATTTGACCAGTCACCGAAAGGACCAGTCGCGCTTAATGTGTTTCAATGCGAAACCGTTATGTTGACATATAATAGTTAAATTGCAACAAATATGACTTCTAACTGGCAACTAAAGCTCGTTTCAAGGCGTCAATAGCGGTAATCTGACCATGGTTGCTGTAAATACCAGTGAGTTGTGCGATCTACCGATCGCTTCACACATGATTTCGCCGAAATTGATGTACTGACATTTTGAATAAAATTAATAAAATATATTAGATATAGAATGATTACGTTTTTTATAACCAGATAGTATTATTATGGGCATATTTTTCGTACTTCAGTTCGGATTTTTTTACTGATATTATGCGGTGTTATGTGGTCAGCTGATAATGCTTTTTTAGATGGGGAAAACATAGTGTCAGTGTAAAACTTGAGTTTCTTAAAAATGTAGGTAACGTTGGGAGGTATGCGTTAACGCACGAGTTAGCGCTATATTGAAGGGCGCAATGGCGAGGGAACACTGTACTTAAGATTTGCGTTCCGTATCGTGGCGTATCGATAAATATGCCCACGTGTGTTGTGTATCGTATCGTGGGTGCATCGGAATATCGGTGTATGCCTAACCCTTCTTAGCAACGTATACTGGTCGTAAGAGGCGACCAAATGGATCGGGTGGTTCAGGGTCGCTGACTTCGTTGGATCGTTGCTCACAATATCGATCACTGGATTGTGGTTCCAGACTCGAATATTTACAGGCCCCGATTATAAAGCTGGAATATTGCTGAGTGCGGCGCTAAACAACAAACAAAAATGAAAACGGTGTAAAACAACTCGTTCATCGACTTCTAAATCGTTATGTTTCAGGTCCGTTCATGCCCTGCGATGACCTGTTTGGGTGGTGGTCACTGAGATGCGGTGTGTGGTTCGTCTTCATGCTGGCCGTGCTGGGCAATGGCGTGGTCCTGTTTGTTTCTGTCACCAGCAGGTCCAAGATGGACGTCCCGCGCTTTCTCATCTGCAACTTGGCCTGCGCTGATTTCTTCATGGGAATCTACCTCGGCTTCCTGGCCATAGTGGACGCGTCGACTCTGGGTCAGTTTCATAATGTCGGGCGGTGGGGTAACCTAATGGTTAAAGCTTTGGATTCCCCACATGGGCACATAGTGTGAAGCCCCTTTCTGGTGCACCCGCTGTGATATTGCTGGAATATGACTAAAAGCGGGGTAAAACCATGTTCACTCACTTTCGTAGCAGCAGCGCAGGCCCAACTCAGGGGTATATATTCCGTGTCTCTATATGCCAACCCCGTGAGGACGTTGATAAGGATGTCGACCGCTGGTGTGCCTGGCTCAGACTCAGTCATTTACAGGCCGCCGCGATCTGGCGTTAATCATCATCATTCAACACTTCTTTCAAATGTGAATTTTAAAGGGGCGGTCGGGTAGCCTAGTGGTTAAAGCGTTCGCTCGTCACGCCGAAGTCCCGGGTTCGATTCCCGACATGGGTAAAATGTGTGAAGCCCATTTCTGGTGTCCCCCGTCGTGATATTGCTGGAATATTGCTAAAAGCGGCGTAAAACCTCACTCACTCACTCACTAAAATTTAAATTGGCATATGTTAGGGTAATTTCCATTTAATCGAAACGTGATTTTCTACTCCGTAGATGAAGGAAAACCCAACCCTTGGCATGGGTTTAATTAATTTTTGACAATCCTTGGTTTTACTTGAATTTAATTGTACTTCAGGTGAGTTCAAGAAGCACGCCATCTGGTGGCAGTTGAGTCCCGGCTGCGTTATAGCGGGGTTCCTGGGAGTTCTGTCAAGCGAACTGAGCGTCTTCACCTTGACGGTGATCACCATGGAGAGGTTCTACGCCATCACCCACGCCATGCAGCTCAACAAGCGGCTGTCCCTGCGACATGCAAGTGAGTATTGAATAGGAGTGACTATTGGTCGTGAAATCACCATTGCGATAACTATTGATATTGCAAGCAACTACTGCGATAAATATCGATAGTTTTAAGTGTATCAGTTTAGATGTGTAGGAGAAACCATGTCTCCGAGGGATTACTAGAGATTGTAAACCCCTACTATTCTCGGGGAGACATGGTTTGTCCAACTTATAAACCGACTCATCGCATAGACAACGTTTTTAATTAAACAACTGTAATAAAAACTCTCAAATGTATAACCTGTATCGGAGATGAAATATCGCCTGCAGTCGTAAACTCGGTTCAATGAAACCGGTCACCTCAGCACGTGAGTTTCGCAACGGTGCGAAATCTGCACGTGCGTCTCGCAGTGGCACGAAATCTGCACGTGCGTCTCGTAGGCTGTTCGTAGTTTTTGTTCTATCAAGGGTTTACAATGATTGTAAGCCCTCCTGCGAGGTGTTACCACAATTTCAAAAACTCCATATCGTGTTACACAAACAGCCAGTAGGTTTATAAGGATTTTAGAGTTGAATTAAACCTTGGTACTGAAGTTTCCTTTGAATGTGACCGTGACAACAAATATAAAGTATGATTGAGATATGACTGAATTGTTTTTTCTTAACCCTAATAATTTAAGAAAAAGAAGCTTCAACATTACCATGTGTAAATTACTACCACTCCTAATCAAAAGAAAAACAAATTCGAACAGTATTGCATCTCTTTTATTGAAACTGTAAAACTATGGTAAATACAATCGAAACTATCGATATTCCTAACTGAAATAGATACTATTGATCGAAAACTGATTTAACAATCGATTTATTGACTTTAAGTGCTTACCAATAGCAATATATCGATATTTCGATTTATCGTGACACTCCTAGTATTGGACTAGTCACAGTACATTATTCACAAAACCATCTGATTCCAGATTGGATTTACCTGCCGTCCAGATTTAGCTGGAAAATATCTGAATGTGGTTTTAACGAAGTCATTCACAGAATGATTGATGCTCATGATGTCAATTAGCGGATTGTTTGATCCAAACTCGATTAGTTGCAGACCACGGTAATTCTCGAATTGCTGAGAGCATCCGTAATTAAATTCTGTGCATTCGTCTTTTTTATTGCCAGTAAAAAACGTATTTTCAAGTTTCTTGCGTCATATGAAGCAAACTCTCATTGTTAACACCTTGAATAGAAACGTCGTCCATTTGTATTAAAAAGTCCAAACCCATGCTAGTCGTACAATGCGACTTACGGGATCGGTGGATGATCCTCGCTGACTTGATTGATGCCCGTTATCGTATCATCATCATGATGGCAATGACTTGATTGTCTGGTTCAGACTCGATAATTTACAGACCGACGTCAATTTTGCAGAGTGCGGCGTTTTACAACAAACAAACAGCCAATTATCATATATTGCATATAATGAACGCGCAGCGTGCACAATATAAGTTATCAACCGATCTGGATGGGAACACTATACCATATGCCCCCAGGGATAGGTTGACCACGACTTTAGCTTTTATTTAGCTTTGATTCAACCGTATTGACAGCTAGCAGACGACGCAAACGAACCGAGTTACTTCCCTTTACCCAATGCATTCGGAAAATCATCGGTTCCTATCAGCTCAATGATACTCATGCGAGATAAGGAAGTTTCCTGAGGTGTGTTCCGATTGATTTCTCAGCGGGGTACATGAGCAGGCTACATGGAAATTAATTGCCCGCTCCTTAACTGATCGGGAGCTAGTATTTAAATGTAAGATGAGATACGTGTTTTTAAATAATAGACTGTCCGGATCCTTTTTCTGAAAAAAAGCTCTTCAACAAAAGCCCATTACTTATAGCTGGGTAACTGCACAAAATGTTTCAGCTGATAGATAAGATTCGGGGAAGAAAAGAAAGCCGTTTCCGTTTCTGAGGATTGGATGGTCAGTATGTCTGTTTACTATAAACTGTAGACCGGTCGCATGTTTATCGGAGTGTTCAGGCTCGATACCATGTTGCATTGATGTAATTGTGATATGGGTTACTATGTTGATCACACCATCTACTTTCCAGGTTACATCATGCTGGTTGGGTGGTGTTTCTCCATCCTCATCGCCAGCTTGCCCATCTTCGGTATCAGCGACTTCAGGAAGTTTGCCGTATGTCTGCCTTTTGAGATTAGCGGAGTCGTGTCTAAGGGTTTGTATATACGGTATACCTTCTTTAACACATTCCCAAGGTGACCCAGGTTAGTATAGGCCCCAATCACTGTTAGAGGCGACTAAATTGGATTGCTATCTCAATCTTTTGAATAAAACCCAACAGGCAGATGGGGTTTATTCAGAAAGACCTGGACAATCAGTGAAGATCCGGGGTAGATTAGGTCTTCAGCAACCCATGCTTGCCTTAATAGGCGACTATGCTTGTCGTAAGAGGCGACTAACGGGATCGGGTGGTCAGGCTCGCTGACTTGGTTGATTCATGTCATCGTATCCCAACTGCGTGTATCAATGCTCATGATATCAACCACTAGATTGTATGATCCAGACTCGATTATTTACAGACCGCCGTCATATAGCTGGAATATTGCTGAGTGCGGCGTTAAACAACAAAGAAACAAAGAAACAAACACATTCTTTTCATATCATCAAATATATAACTGAATTTTCTTGGGATTTTGGATCACTTACGTTATCTGGCCACACTATATTATAACTTCCGTTCCGTCATATAACTGGAACATTGCTGAATGTGGCGTTAAAGAACATAAACGTATAGGTAACGTTCTATCATCTTTCTCTGTTTAGGGTATGTCTGCTTCATCATGATATTCAACGGCATCTCCTTCTTCATCATCCTGAGCTGTTACTTCATCATGTACCTCTCCATCCGCGACTCCCAGGCCTGGAACTCTAACGACATGCGAGTAGCGAAGAGGATGGCCCTTCTCGTCTTCACCGACTTCGTGTGCTGGGCCCCCATCGCCTTCCTCTCCTTGGCAGCAGCCTTCGGGAAAAACCTCATCCATCTAAACGAAGCAAAGGTCCTCACCATCTTCATCCTCCCACTCAACAGCTGTGCAAACCCCTTCCTGTACGCCATCTTCACAAAACAGTTTAAGAAGGACTGCGTCTTGCTGTGCAGACGGCTGGAAGATTCATCCATAGCCCGCCACTTCTCCAGAGTGAGCAACAGACATGGGAGCTCCTGGGTGCCCTCGAGACGTCCGTCAGGGCTGAATAGTCTGGTTCCTGGCGAGAAGCGGGGCAGCAATAGTAACTCAATGAGCATCGGGAGTCAGTATGGTGGCTTGATCAACTACCACTCCGAGTCGAACAATGTCAAGAGCGAGTCGGAAAGGAGCGAGTGTGATAGCAAACAGAACAACACTAAGCCGTTTTTGGCAAAGGATTGCCCCTATTGCAAAAGTCGAAGCGTTAAGGGTCATAAGACAAAAAGGAACAATAAGAAAAATGTTGAACATAGGAAGCATGGCTCCGGCCGGCCTGATGCAGACTCCCACATTATTCTGCACCAAGAGTTTTGTTCCAAGGAGAAGATGGATGATTTGAACTGCACCACTGAGTCCTATCTGACGTATGATGAAGATGATAACCATCACCGGGCGGTTTGGATCAAGCAGTCGGGGACTGTGTGTGTTGATGCGTCCTGTTCATGCTATGCTCAAAAAACCGTACCTCCACTCAAAGGGCAGATAACTCTCCCAGTTGTCGCTTTTCAAGGTCATCAAGAAAAAGTAAATTTTCATTCCCACCGATCCAAAAGCCAGAAAAAGACACCCTGGACACAGAACATCCCGTGTTGTAGTACCGAGTCGAGTCCTATAGATACAGACAAGCACTGTGACTATGATGCCGTTCTGATGCCCGAAAACTCGAATGGCTCGTCAGACAGGTGTGTGCAATGCTGTAGTGGGATGTCCACAAATTCCCGATCCAAATCAGCGGGAGTGTGTGTGGAAAAGCTGACCCAGTCACAGTTTGACATCCAACTCGTGATAGAGGACGGGTCGCACATGCGTAGTTCGTCTAAAAAGAGACGGAAATCAGAGGAAGAAAAACATGGCGAAGCTGTTGAGTCTAGTTTTGTTGAACTTAAAGGCAAACCGTCGTGTCTAGTAATGGAACCGCCTGATCAGCCTGGTGATACTTTGTGTGTTAGGAAACGTAAGAAAGAAAAGATTGACAAAAACGTGCATCTAAGGTTTTTCACGCAGTCTCTTGCAGAACACGATTTTATTCAGTCTTCGGTGGGGCGGTCCAACAGTCTCGTTGAACTGACACAGCCGCAACTAACCGACTTGTACCGACCCCCATGTAAGAGACTAAGCCTCACCCCCGGGCAGGAAGGATATATGCTGCTAAATAACACTAACAGAGACTCTGCTTTCGTGGACGACGATGATGAATTCGACTTCTCGCACCGGATTCTGGAGGGTTATGCAGACGGTAGCTTTTTTGACCGGAAGTCCCGAAAGTACGATTACGGTTTGGTGAAGCGCCGCCAAACGGCGGATGACGCGGCTGAAGAAGAGGAGACAACCAAGTTATTGTTTGATTCGAGTGACAAAGTCATAGGCAGCGATGAGAGTGAGGCACTTAAAAGCTCTGTACAAAACATGTCAAGTTTAAAGAGCTGTGATAAAGAAAGCGGTTTCGTATCGGAGCTTTAGACTGTATTCCAGTTCTTTTACTGGTTGAATCATGAATTAAAACCATGATGATGAGACAATATACTTAGTGATACAGGTATATACACCTGGCAAAATGAGCACCCTCAGCGCTACGACTGTCGTAATTCTATGTTAAGGTATAGGAGTCACGATCACCATAGCGCTAAGATCGCTTTGTACAACGGCGCCCAGTTAGTTATTAAAACTTTCCAAATAAAATATATAAATAACATCCTGGATTAATTTTCCGCCGAGATACATTTGTTTTTGTTTACAAAGTGAAATACAGACACAAAACAGGTTGTTTTTTTCTATTGACACGTTTTGTGACTATTCCGTGGCAATATGTTTGACTAGCCTTTGTCTCATGTGATATGACATGACTTAGTACAAAAACACTGTTTCGTCAGAGGGACACTCGTAATAACATTTCATTGGGTATCAGTGGTGCATTAGACATTTACCAAAGTAAGATCAATGCCGTATGCAGTTATTTTCAAAGGATGTTCGCGATTTATACTACTCAAAAGAAGTTAACACCCGAATTTCGCATATGGCTATAGTCAATCTGGCATGGCTATGTTCCTTTTTTTCTTTTGAGTAGTGGGGGCACGGGTGGCTCAGTCGTGTAAGGCGCCGCGATTCGTTGTGCAGAGTTGCGTCCCTTGGACACGCCGGAAACCTGTGATTGTTGGTTCGAATCCCGGTTCGCCCCGATTATGTTTCTAGGTTTATCAGCACCATACCCGTGCTCGTCCAAGACCTGCATCAGCTTTCCTCCCACATTAAGCTGACACATCGTAATATAACTGGCATACTGTTAAAAGCGGCGTTAAACCCAACTCACTCACTCACTCTTTCGAGCAGTATAGAATGTAAAGGAGTGGTGCTTAACTTTTGTTCAGGTGTATATATCCAACATTGGTGCCTGAGTCTAAATGTGACTGTTGAGTCCCATAGGTTCGAATCCCAGCTTCGGCCCGGGTATGACATTTGGTGTGTCGACACCAAGCCCTATGCTGTACCGCCAACAAAGTTATAACTTCTAGGTCTTCAACGATGTGTGCTTCGATAAAATCTGAACTGAAATACTGTTGGGAATTGCGTTACACCTAACCCATTATTGACGCATGGACATTGTGTTTGAACAGAACGCATACTGTATCGTTTTGCTATAACATACACGGCCATTTTGCTCTTTGATGAACATAACGTGAAAGTTTCAAAAGATGATGCTGGTGACGGAAGATTAACGTTTTGGCGGGTGCTTGACCTCGAGCAACTAGGTGATCAATTTATATACATTTATCAAAGTGTAAATTTGAGATAAACTTTGAAATCAATGCTATATCGATTCTCTTTAGTTAAGTCGGTGCAATGCAGTTAGTACCTACTGACGTGGTATATTGAAAGTATATTTTAAATGTCAATTATACAATATCAGTATTCAGTGTACTTAACACCGTCCCGAAGTCAAGTCTCTTTTATGCACGTGTGATTTATAACGGCGCATAACTATACTACACAAAAGAAGTTAGAGAGCACCAGATTCAGTATATTACTGTAGTTAACCTGTCAAGAGTAAGTACATAGTAACATGAAGGAATCGGGGGCTCGCCCCGGTTATTTTTCTAGGTTTGTCAGCACCATACACGTGCTCGTGGGGTAAGTGTGATAGTGTGAGATCTGCATCACCTCATGCTTTCCTCCCACATTAAGCTGACACGCCGTGATATAACTGGAATACTGTTCAAAGCGGAGTTAACCCAACTCACTTACTGAAAGAATCGGGTGTTCTTTAACTGTTTTAGTACTCTATATTAGTATGATAGAATTAAAAACTATATTATTATGATATTGATAACGTAGATATATATTTTAGCACTTCAACGAGTCATGTTCTTTGTTGTAGAATGCCTTAACCTGCCCGTGAAGATCCGGGGTAGAATAGGTCTTCAGCAACCCATGCTTGCCGTAAAAGGCGACTATGCTTGTCGTAAGAGGCGACTAACGGGATCGGGTGGTCAGGCTCGCTGACTTGGTTGATTCATGTCATCGTATCCCAATTGAGTGTATCGATGCTCACGATATCAATCACTGGATTGTCTGGTCCAGACTCGATTATTTACAGACCGCCGTCATATAGCTGGAATATTTCTGAGTGCTGCGTTAAACAACCAACAAACAGCATGCCTTAACAAAGTTGTTATATAACTGTTGATTAGCTAACGGAACATGTCCCGTTAGACTTAAATGCTGCTGGCCGACGTGGCGTTATTGTGTTTTGTCTTATGTTGTGAAATGGGTTTACACGAGCGTGTACAGACTTCAGTTTTAGTCCCATTGAAACAGGTTCGCAGCCATTACATTATATTGCATGTTAGAATAAAGACGAATGTTAAATATTAGGCCACAAAAAATGTTTCTCAGGACAGGCTTTTCTTCGTTCCTGTTATTAAAACCACAATTGTGTACATTGTCTTATTGTCAGACATGGAATGAAAGAAGACAACCAGAGACACTGAACAAGAGTGAGTCTTTAATTCAAACAAGGACAATGTTGAAAGTACATTGAAAATTGTACATGATCCCTGGGCTGTCGTGAATGTATACAACCTAGCGGGCACACAGTAAAGGAAAGATAACTCTATAATATTACATTAGAAAATTAGGAATTCCTGCATTCGGACCAGGAAAAAAAGCATTGATGCTCTAGGTTAAAAAAGACCCGCACGACGACGAGAATCATTTTGTTTTCCTTCTTTGGCCTTACAGAATGTTTTTCTTTTATCTCTACATATGTAAGCTATTTTGGCCCTGGGCTGAGTTAGATGAAGCCATCTTTCGTTTCGTGCGGCGGTACTCAACATCATGGTGCGTGCTGTCACGTGTGCAGTGTCTTGAGACGCACTCAAATGTAGCCGAGAAAGCGTAGGTATGTTTTTCTTATCAGCCACCACTCGCGATTTACATTCCTGCGATAAATTATGATTCACGTCTTCTTAACGCCCCGATTCTGATTTTGCACCGGTTGTGACAAGCTGCGTCTGGTATGCATAAATGTCGTGGAGCATGTTCCCAAACCATGACGCTAAGTACACGCCATACATCGACTGTATTGTAGTTCATGAAAGTTATGAACCTGGTGGGAGGTACCGAGTGCCCCAGTCGTCTGAGGCACCGCAATTCTTTGTGCAGAGTTGCGTCCCTTGGGTAAGCATCGATCATGTTTCTAGGTTTGGTAAAACCGCGAGCACGTATGCCGGCAGTGGTAAATGTCTGAGACCTGCATCACTTTGGGTTTTCCTCCCACATGAAGCTGACACGACGTGACAAACTAAAATACAATTCAAAGCAGCTTTAAACCAATGGTGAACATGTAGACACGAGCGGTCGAGTTTACTGACACGGCCGCTGTTACTACTTTTAAACTCGTGTTTTTCGACTCATAACTCGCACACAGGTACGAATGGACAAATTTGGTTATATTCGGAACACAAGTATTAGCGAGCATTGGAAAGCAGATATTTTACAACTTTTGCTGAGGATCACACCTTTGACTAAGATGATGATGTAGCATTTAGTGGTGCAGTACACACGTGCGACTTCGCACCACAGCCAAAGGCCACGTTTTGCATGAAACGCACGTGACCAATGAAATATACATACTGACAGCTACATGTGATCAAGTGCTTTTCATTGGACGAGCATCAGGCTGCGGAAGGAAGTCTCAGTCAAGTGCGTTGTTCCATGCTAAAGGTAATGTCAAAACGTGTTACGAAGGTGTTAGCGCTGTCCATGCCAAACCGTAAGTTGGAAAGGTAGCAACTACCAATTTCTCGCTGGACAGTAATTAAATTCTTGCTCTAAAGTTATTTGACCACGATTACAACATTCAAGGCCTCAGCAAAGCTTTCGCAAAGTTTAGTGATAGCATTTTATATTTGACGCATTAGTGACAACAATGATGTCCGATGAAATATTTTTCAGGTGAACACTTGATTTGCCCTTGCATGTGTTTGTAACTGGCGCCACCTTTTTGGCTTGATACGCTCACATCTTTTAGAACACCTGGTATCTTCACTATTTGATAGTGATTCATAAACAAATGCCTATTAAAAAAAAGTCAGAATCGTACAATACTTTTATAAGAGTATCTTTTTATGATGGAAATATTTTTTGTCACATATATGTGTTATTACTTTGGACACACGAGGACGTTTGCAGCTACATGTTTTCACGGTCAAAACAAGATAGTTGAAATACCTTTAGGGAATACGTGTTCCAACAAAACGTGGGGGAACGGGTGGCCCAGTCGTCTAAGGCGCCGCGATTCGCTGTGCTGAGTTGCGTCCCTAGAACACGCCAGAAACCTATGATTGTGGGTTCGAATCCCGGTTCGCCCCGATTATGTTTCTAGGTTTGTCAGCACCATACCCGTGCTCGAGGGTTTCGCCAAAGTAGTAAACGTCTGAGACCTGCATAACTTCGGCTTTCCTCTCACATTAAGCTGGCACGCCGCGATATAACTGGAATACTGTCAAAAGCGGCGTTAAGCCCATCTTCACGAGTTAAGAGAGTTAACTGACTTTAAAAGTCCAGTTTCCTTGCCGAACTAGGCTGGGATTACCGGGCTCGATCGTAGCGCCATCAGTAGCTATTTCCAGTTATGTCCCTTCTAAGCCTCTCCTATGGACCAATCAGATCTATATTGTGATAAAACGAGTCTTACATCGCGAAATGTCTCCTTCATGTGAGCACCTTGATTAAAAACATGAAAGATTTGGAAAATACCTGCTGACAACGAGTTGGCGGTGCACATGCTTTGCAAATCCTGCAATCGATCGAAATCTGCACGAAAGTTTACAAACCGGATTTCGATTTCGGTGCGCGATTTTGATTTGACTGTGCATAGACTCGTTAGTCCAGCCAAATTGTAACTCAAGTTCGGCGAGGGTGGAAACTGGACTTTTATAGTCTCCTGCCTCGGGAAGATGCGTTAAACCCAACTCACTCACTCACTCACTCCCTAACCAAACGTCCAAAAATGTCTTCACCTAGAACAGTTTTTCTCAATATCCCTGCTGTATGAATCTGTTCAGATCAATGTATTGTTATACTAACTACACAGACAGTATTATGTCAACAACCTGGACAGTAAATCTGTCCACGCGACCAACTACCATCAACTCGTACAGTTATTCTTTTCTTAAATATCTCGGAATATACATCACAAAAATACAATTTGATATAAATCCCAAAATAGCTCAATAAAGCTTAAATTGACACAAAAGTGTGCTGGTATGACATAACAATGTCCTACTCACATTGAAAAGCACCTGGTTTTCGATTCTTCTCTATCGCGCCAGAATACATTAAAAGTAAAGTAGACAATAATGAACTTATTATTGAGTGTCATATATAAATACTTTAATGATTATGGGCTTGGTGAAATCACAATATTTACTGTCCTGCGAGAAAATTGTAGTTGTCACTTAGGCCCGTCAGAAACCCATGATCGTGGGTTTTCCAGCACCATACCCGTGCTCGAGGGTTTCGCCAAAGTGGTAAACGTCTGAAACCTGCATCACTTTCTGCTTTCCTCACACATTAAGCTGTGACGCCGTGATATAACTGGAATACTGTTCACAGCGGCGTTAAGCTCAACTAATTCACACAGGCCGTTGAGTTTCCTATTCATGTTATGAAAACGTGTTAAAGCTATTGCTTTGAGCATAGTTCAGATTCAGTTACTTTCAGCTGGTCGTGACATATCTGGAATATTGGAGACTGCGGCGTAAAACATTCGTCAGTTGTTGGTGGATATGACGGACAAATGTGCCTAATTCAACGGGGGGATGATGTCTTCACGGGGCAAGGCGGTCGTTAGTTGTTTACTTAAATGTTGTCATTTTGTTTTGAATGTTTACGAGTGCCGTGATTAATGTATCCATTTTATTGCAAAAATATGAATATTCAATATTAACATTGTTTTCTTGTTCTTTGAACATTGTCATATATCCGAAGATTGGGCAGGGCTGTACTGCTTATTTGGTCTCGTTGAAGCAGACCGATGGAAATGGGTCTGCTTTAAGAGTTTGAACGCCGCCCTTCTGTTTGTGAAACGACGTGGGGCATGGCGCTGATCGAAAAGAGTTGGGGGTTATGAATATTTTTGTGCAGTAAAGACTAGTTTCTTTAATTGTGTACTGTATAGGAATATTTCATGATCCTTAATCCCCGCACTCGGCAATATTCTAACTATATGACGGCGGTCTGTACATAATTGAGTCAGACTTTGACATCATGAGCATCGAACTACTCCATTGGCATACGATGACATGCATCAACCAAGTCAGCGAGCCTGACCACCGGATCCCGTAAATCGCCTCTTACGATATGAATGTGTTGTTAAAGACCAATTCTAACCAGGCACTCTCGCGGGAACTTCCTTTAAGTGAACAGTTGTTTTCTGTCTCAAACAACTCGAATGCTTTTCTTGCATACGTGTAGTTAGTTCGCTGTTCGAAACACGGACAGGAGTTTTTTAAAATATAGTGTGCATGACAAATTATTGGCAAAATGATGTATATGTAGTATCAAAAGAAGCACATGCTGTTCTGTATCAGTCCTTTGTTCCCCAAGGAATGTTCAGTACGAAGAGGGCCTTGGTCGTCGCTTGCAGTATCATGTTAGAGTGGCCGCCCTTGGTGGAACATTTCTTCCGGGTCCATAAGAAGTTAACAGCCGAAGCAATCTCATTACAATGAGATCTTTTACTCCCGATACTATACCTCTCTGCGATAAGATCTGACGGCACATCGATAGAATGTCGCGTCAGTTGAACCCTAAGCGACCTTTGACAGTCATTCTGATGTCAGTGTTCGAGAACGAGTTAGGCTAATTTCTTAACCAACTTGATTCGGAATTTTCGATTGGAACAATAGAAAAATCCACGCAGGACAACCATTTGTCTTCGATGATTCAGGAAAGGTCGTTTAAACTCGTTTTCGAGATACAGAAATCAGATGTGGTGGTCTGAATGCTTCTTTCCAACAGAATGTTCACCAAACGCGATCTTCTATGGTGTCCACAAGTCCTCGCTTTTGAGAGGTATTATATCGGGATAATATACTGAGTCAAATTAAAAACTTCACATTTTAAAAAGTAATCCCATATATGATATACAACGGACAAATGTATCAGAGAAGGTAATTTTTAATCAGTAATGTCCAAAGAAGGATTTTAATTAACGGTGGTAACCATAATTTGTTCCAAGCACCTACGGTATTCGGTAATAACATCAACAGTTTAAATCATAAGTCCCAAGCACGAGAATCTGATGGCACACAAGTTCAATAGCGTAAAATGGCCACCATGTGCGTTGACAACTGCCACACAACGCCTCCGCATGGACCTTGTGATGCTTGTGAACATATGATTGGGAAGACGACGCAATTGTTGCTGCAAAATGGTGCCAAAATCTTGCAAATTCTGTGGTTGGTTCTGGAGAGTACGCAGACTTTTGCCAAGAGCATCGAAGACGTGTTCGATGGGATTGAGGTCGGGAGACCTTGACGGCCAGTCCATGACATTGACTCCCGCATTCTGAAAGAAATTCCTTGTCAAAATTGCTGTGTGGGGTCTGGCATTGTCGTGTTGGAAGATCAAACTGGGTCCATGTGCTGCCATAAAAGGCAGTTCTGGTGCCAGTACCTGGTCGCGGTAAGCAGCAACGTTGAGGTTGCCACGGATGACAAGAAGCCTGGAACGTGCATTGCCACAGAAAGCATCCCACACCATGACACTTCCGCCTCGAAATCTGTCAACTTCCTGTACACAACACTGGGCGTAACGTTCATGACGGCGGCGCCACACCCTCGCCCTACCATCAGCAAATCGAAGATTAAATCGGATTCATCACTGAAGACGACTTTATTCCAATTCCTCTGAGTCCATCGTAAGTGTCGCTGTGCCCACAATTGACGTTGACGTCTGTGTAATTGAGTCAGAATCGGCCCGCAGTATGGCCGTCGTGCTTGAAGGTGAGCAGTTCTTCGTCAAAAATCGGTTACGGAGGTGACGTAAGACAATCTGACGGTCCTCTGCATGTGACGTCACGCGTGGTCGACCTGGCCGAGGGCGATCAGCGGTGGTAGACGCGTCTGTAAATCATAAACAGTCCGTCGACTACAACCCATCGTCCTTGCGACTTCATCTACGGACGTTCCCGTCTGCAACATGCCGGTGGCACGTTCACGTTGCACATTTGAAAGGCTTGGCATGACAAATGGCCGTAAAGACTTTTGTTTTCTTGTGTTTTTCTTTTTTTGTTAATGGCTGCTAACAAGTATTGCTGAAAACACGTGCGGTATTATGGCTACGTGACCAGTTGCACGTGAAAAAACACTTTTGCCACTATAGTGATGTGCACATGATTTTGATCGATTCACCTGCACAAAAACGGGTGTTACCTGAAGACAATACGTGGCCCTTATTTTGTATTTAAACATTAATGACCAACAATGATAACTGGTCAAAATGTTAAAATTTTAGGATTGTGAAGTTTTTAATTTGGTACAGTATATATCTGATTTAACGAGATTGGCGTAGCGAGAACGTGAAGGGAATATTCTTTTTATACAAACACAATAGTATGAGGTAGGGTGAGAGGTGGTCCCGTTCGTTCAACGCATATTCTTTCACAAAGCTTCCAAACAGGGCGCTTAATTTTTCAAGCCTTGAAGTGCAAAACATGACCCTTCATTTTAACGCTTTCTATTATACCAGGGAAAAGTAATTTAACTATAACGTACCGGGGTTTTGTTTTGTACGCTAATACGAGCGCCTATTGTGATTGGCTGCACGAAACAACCTTAGCACTACGACAGTCGTAAGTCTGTTAAGATATGGGAGTTACGATCGCCTAAGGGGGGGGGGGGGAGGGGGGGGGGGGGGGGGGGGGGGGGGGGAGAAAGAGAGAGAAGAAGAAGTCACATAACACGGATGGAAGTCGACAAAATATGATACTATCACACATTATAGGGACTCCGAGCCTTTTAGTCAGGTAGGGTAACAACAAATACTATCTTCCATCGTCGTTAGGCATGACGAGGCCTGGGGTTCGAACCACCGTTTTCCGGGCAGACGATCTATTCACTAGGAAACTGGAGGCGGTCCAAACACATTTGTTTGTCATCCATTCGTGCATAACACGAAGATGACCTTTAAAGATACCAGATGAGATAGAAGTTACAACACAACAAGGCAGCACATCAATGGTTTATTTATACAGAAATATGGTATGAAAGTATGAAAAGGTTTCATTTGGTAAGTACTGGCAATGGTATGTCATGTAAACAAATTGTGACTAGTTTCATTTCCCTGGACCAATCAAAGTTTTGATTGGTTGGTTCCCTTCAATATTTAAGGAAATAATGATTACTTTTGAAGCAAAACCTTTAGTATTTCAAACAAACAAATGGTCAATGTTAACTCAATACATCACAGTCAGGTAAATGTGTGTATGGTTGGACAAAATCTAGTGTCATATGTAACATCTGCATATGTAACAAATCAGTCTTTGGTGAAATAATTCTTTCAATAGTCTCCACACTTAACCTTTAGTTTATCAAAAATATTTCGTAAGAGGTTGAAAAAACCTCAGAAAACGAGATACATCTCAAGATAAATATTAGTATCGCTTCACTGATCTTGCACGGTTCTTCGATTCTTAGGGTTTGTTGTGTTGGGAGTAGCTTTACCCAAATATCCTTTGTCCTTGAATGAGTGAGTGAGTGAGTATGGTTTTACGCCGCTTTTAGCAATATTCCAGCAATATCACGGTGGGGGACACCAGAAATGGGCTTCACACATTGTACCCATGTCGGGAATCGAACCCGGGTTTTCGGCGTGGCGTGCGAACGCTTTAACCACTAGGCTACCCGACCGCCCCGATCCTTGAATTAGAAGATAGCGGCTACATGCATGTCAGAAGGAAAACATCCTGTTTGTCAAGTCCTTACTAGTTTTGCACCACATGTAATACATTCAAACCAAGCCACTGAAGCTTGAACATGTCGAAAAGATTAATCTGTTAAACAGAACAATGGGGAAATAATACTATTTAGGTAGTTTGTTCAATGGTATTACAACATGGTAAAGCAATTCACACTGGTCTACTGATGAGAAAACCAAAGAATAGAACCGAATCAGAATCATGTGCTGTCATTAATACATCTGATTCATCAACAAATTTGACAGATAAAACAATTTTTCCTGGTCTCCTGTTTTCTCTAACAAATTAATTTTGTATGCAAACTGTATGTACATGTATAAAAATATATACAAATACAAATATAGCACTATACAGAATAATTTAAAATAAATTTATGGCAATATGTGTTACACACAACAGGTTTGTATCATATAATACAATGTACTGAAGTTTAAGTTAAATAAGGAATTTCAAAATCAATGAGACATTACTATGGATTTTACTGTCAAACGACCACAGATGTTTTCATTCTGATAAAATAATCATGCGCTTGGAATTCCAGTCAAACTTCACCATCCATTCTGGTTCAATTTGAAACAATGAAACTATATTACTGATAGGGCAGTTACAGTTATTTAACAGACCTCGAGAACAGATGACTTTCTTCATACAGCAATCTAAGACGTAAGGAAAACTTTGTCGCAATTACTTGGATCTGTGAAATGTATTAAGCAGCTTAGCAACATCCCAGTCTGTACCAACTGAATGACATAATATACATGGCAGTAGCTTGAAACATAGGTCCTTGGAGGGTAACATTTTGTACAATACATGACCGCATGGCCAGACAATCATAACTGTTAATTTTGTTGTAAACAAACTCACAAAATGGCAGTGAATCCTAAAATGGGAACGTGCAGTTCCATAAAGTTTTATTTAAGTAATTCAAAACGCACTTTGTCCAACCATATTCTTCCAACTATTCTCTCAAGAATAGTCCAGACGACTAGTGTTAACCTTATTTCACTAATCCTCGGTTTGTAGCAAGTTTCAAAATCGGTAAAAGTATTATCCTCAAATGCTACTATACTACCATCATTGAATATTTACTTGTCCTCAGCACAACTCTCGGGCTGGCAGACTAGCATGAATTTCAGAGGCTCTTTGTCTACACTAAACCATGAATCGTTACCCTAATTACACAGACACATTGTCTCAGTTTCAAACACAATGTGGCCTAGTCTAGCAACTGATACTTTCCATCACAAAAAAATCTATTTCATATGATGTAAGTAACTTTCATAAGAGACTACGCAGCTTAAGTAATTTCATTTGTTTAACTCTAAGATCGGCCAAGCCTTTCCACATATACAATTCTAGACGAAAACAAGACTAACAAGACTTCTGTATGATTGTTGAGCATATTCAACTTTACCAAGACAAAATCAGTCCTACAACCTATTGTCCATTCCAAGGATGTGACCACTCCCATGATATCAGTGTCCTGTGATTCCATCTGTCAGAGTGAGGGAGTGTTCTTCCGAGGTGTCAATATAATGAATCAGATAAATACAGCGATGGTATGAAGATTTGCTTTAAAGGTGATTTCTGATGGTATGTACAATATACAACAGGCCTCCATCTATTAAAAACAGATGAGGTTAACCAATGTGTTTTGGTGGGTCTCTCACCATTCTTTAATGATGGCATTCACTCCTTAACACAAGTGTCACTTTTTCACATATAACATTGCAACCTTAGTGTCGAAGTTGATTTTGTATTTTGACAAAGTACATGGTTAACGCCCAGGATCGCATGTTTCTCAAAATACTGTTAGTGTCAAAGCGAAACAGTCAAACCACATCCACCATGTTCATCGACATGCCTATCTCAAACTTCACTCTTGTGTTGAATATCAGGGCTTTGGTAGTCGACTGTATATACACATTCAAATTGTCACTTCCCACAATGCACGAGGGTGTTCCACAAGATTCCTGCATCACAGTGGTTGGAGAATACTGCCAGGTTGTTGCAATGACATCAAATGATATAGGGAGCATATGTTTTGTACAAAGTTAAAACGCTTTCACTGAGCACTCATTCCAAGCGCTGTTAAATCACAAAACAAAGCTAACACAATTTTTATACTTTTAGTGTCACTGATTTTCTTCCATATGCAAGTCCGGACCCATAGTTACAACACCAGTGTCATGTGCAGAAACAGTTCCATTTTGGCATACTTTGGTCACATATTACTTCCAGCCTCTGTGCAAAGCTTGATGACTTCCAATAAATATGTCCCAGTGATCATTTAAACAATGAACTGGTTTTGTTCACACAGACCTCGTGAGCAAAATCCAACAAGTCCACAGTTCAATTCGGTGGTATCCTGGTTAAATTGACATTATTCATCGTGTGAGAAAACCAGTGGTCCTACAAGAATATCCGTAGTTTCAGGTCGTGTCTATCCCTGTACCTACAGTATACAATGGTCATCATGAAATATGAAGCAAATCCTCTGTTCTTTGTCTCTTGGGGTCGGAGACGCCATCTCCGTTGGTGATCTCTGGCACAGGGAGAGGGGGCTTTGGTGGGTATTTCTTAGCAAAGGTGATGTAGTGGGGGAGATACTTCAACACAAGCTCCTCAAAGAAGCCCCTCACCGTCTTGCCAGCTTTGCCTACTTCAGAATTTTCCTGGAAAAAGAAAGTGACATGTGAAAGTTTGCATTACTTTTCCTGTCAAGTATAATCACAAGTCATCAGAAGATGACAAATCCCCCAGCCCCCACAATAGCAAAAGACACCCAGTTAAAATGATTTCATCGATAATAACCATCTTAATTGTAATAAACTGTGTTTTATCAATGTGCATCAAATCATTTGAGCACTTTGATTGTAAAACATGAAAAGATTTAGAAAATCTCTGTCGACGACCAGTTGATGGTACACATGCTCTGCAAATCCTGCAATTGAACGAGTTGCCTATCAGCCGGATGTCGATTTCGTTACGGGATTTCATTACGGGATTTTGATTGGACTATGCTTAGACTGTTAGTCCGGCCAAAACATAACTCCATAATTCTAGCCTACTTCGGCAAGGCTGAAATAGACTTTTAAAGTCAGTTTAACTCCCTTGGCTCAGGCTAATGGTTATGACTTCATCAATAAGCCTCTTGTGAGTGGAAAGGCAGATTCAACAGGTACTGCTGGTTCCAAAGACAAGTGAGCTGATACAGAGTTCTCTCCCTTTACACACACACACACACACACACACACACACACACACACACACACACACACACAGAGTCAGACAGACTAACAGGATATTTCTATTAAACAGTGTTCAGAACAGGAAATAGACCTCATTTTTGTCCTATTGTGGATTTGTAAAGTGTTAAGATTGATCACTAAATAAGTCCAGAACTAGTCAAGACCTTCCTTGTCCAACCTGAAATTCTTAATACTTTTACGGAGACGAGGACAAGGAAACTAATCCTATTAACTGGTCTTTACCTGGTTGTAGGTTGCGCAGTTCAGGAAGACCAGTTTCACATCCCCAAGGAAATCTTCTACACAGTTGTAATGGTTGAAATGTTGCCGTGACAACTTGCACTTGATGGTGGTGAAATCCATGGGCACCTGGATGATCTTGTAGTAGTTTGGAACCTGCAACAAAGGAGGAATTCTTACCCAGTTCTGGACAACAACAAAGGGACAGGCGTGTGGTGTGTTCAATAAAACATAACCCAGGTGATGAAACACTTAGGTTGGGAGCAATACAGTTTTACATATAAGGATTCTCATATTACAGTCAGTTTATACAAAGTGTGTGTGGGGGCACTTGGGTCTATCGCCACTATTTCACTATGCCAAATTTGTTTGCAGACAAGCAACTACCTAATCCCAGCCTCAGAGTGAGTGAGTTTGATTTTACGCCGCTTTTAGCAATATTCAAAGAATATCACGGCGGGGACACCAGAAATGGGCTTCACATATTGTAACCATGTCTTTGGCGTGATGAGGGAACGCTTTAACAACTTGGCTACCCGACCATCCCCATGCCTCAGAAATTTGGTGTTTTCCAAAGGCAAGTTGAAACCATATTTCACTAGTCCTTAGAGTTTGCAGATAGCAAGACTTGAATAAAAGAATTTTTTAATGAGTTTTGTTCAATTCCAATTGTAGCCAAACTTGAAGTCTTGAGAACTGGTTCAGAATTATTACCCTCGAAAGCTAACTACCATCAACAGATTTTGACTTGTCCACAGCACAATTCAGTAGTCTCTGCCTTGTGGTATAGCACAAAATTTGAAGGCTGTAATCCCCAGAAGTCTGTGCTTACCTGCTTGCTGACGGGTTCATGGAAGGCAACGCTGCTGGGATGACAGAACAACTCAAGCATCATCCTCTCACACACCTGGGACAGAGGAACACAGTCAACATACTGACTAGCATATGGACAGAGTACACAGGCTTTGTTTGTTTGGTTGTTGTTTAACCCCGCACTCAGCAATATTCCAGCAAGCTGGCGGCAGTCTGTCAATAATTGAGACTTGACCAGACAATCCATAATTGATATCATGAGCAAGGATCAACGCAATTGGGATGCGATGACATGCATCAACCAAGTCAGCGAGTATAACCACCCGATCCTGTTAGTCGCCTCTTAAGACAAGCATAGTCGCCTTTTACGATATGCCTAGGTTGCTTAAGACCTATTCTACCCCTGATCTTCACGGGATGAGTACACAAGCAGAAGACCAGAGATTTTATCACTTCACAAACCTTAGTGTACGTCCTATATATAGCTAAAAGATTTTGTTTGTTGTTTAACGCAGCAATATTCAAGCTAGATGTCGATGGTCTCTAATTAATCGACTCTGGACCAGACCATCCAGTGACTGACACCATAAGCATTAATTCCCGCAATTGGGATAGGATGACATGCATCGACCAGCGAGTCTGACCACCCGATCCCGTTAGTCGCCTCTTATGCGTTGCTGAAGACCTATTCTAATTTCTACCCCAGATCTTGACGGGTCTTTAGTTAAATGAATCCTGGTGTCACATACAAATAAGAAGTAACATGTTGTTTTAAGCAACATTTCATGTCAGTGTCCAAAATCAAAAGTCAACAGGTCCTTATCATAACCCCTAAAGTTAAACATTGAAGATTTAGGGAGGCGCGAGATTCAAATACTACGGTGGCAGGAACCAACAGTTTTAGTCCACCAGTCCTCATAAAGATAACGACCGTGGAGATCCGGGTAGATAAGTCTTCTGCAACGCATGCTTGCCATAAAAGGCAACTATGCTTGTCGTAAGAGGCGACTAACAAGATCGGGTGGTCACACTGGCTGGCTTGAGGCATGTCATTGATCCCATTTGTGTGGATCGATGCTATGTTATCAATCACTGGATTGTCTGGTCCACACTCAATTATTTACAGACACCCAAGCTGAATACGGCGTTAAACAACAAACCAAACAATCATAATGATAACATAAAGCAAAATCCTTAAAAACGGCATATTTCTACTTGTCCTTAGAATATGTTAACTATTGGGCAGTCTGGCAAGGACTGCAGGACTAGTGCCAATTTCTTACTCTGTACAGGAGCATACCTCAAGGACAGCCCTTACAAATTGACGTTTGCATGTATTGAAGATCATGTTTTAAGCTATTGTCAGCAACATTCAGGTTGAATCAATGGCCTGTAAGTAACAATATCTGGGCCAGACAAACAAGTGGTTAAGATAAAAAACTTCCATCTCAGATGTTTCTTGTACCTTAATTTCCATTTCTCCTAACCCTCCCGGTGCTTTCCGTTTGGTGCCGTTGCTGAGCAACTCGTCAGGGGTGGGACTGTTGATGCGGATGTTGTCTCCCGTCACACACAGAGTACATACGAACACGCCACTGAAATGATTAAATGATCTCATTAGTCATCAGCTCATCACAAATAAATCATACACGACTGTGTCTAAACACTTCACCATGAAAAATAGAAAAATGACTGTTCAAAAAACGGATTACAATTAATTAAATGAACAATTGAAGAGAAATCTTAACTGAAGTCACTATCAAGCATGTTGCATTCATTGTGTCAAATAAGAATAACTATAAATTCACAACAACCACAAACTGGTTCACATAGAGAGTTTCAAACAAAAACCGTGGAAATATGATATGCATCGAATCACGACTTAGTTCTGAAACTTCTCAATACAGGTGTATCGTGATATCCTTGTCAAAACATGGTTCATAGACGACTGTAGTGCCAACTGGAGAACTTACTTTGGTACAGCGTTGAGAGGAGGGATGTGGCACTGCAGATGGAACACACGGGGGCATGTGTCACAGCACAGAACCTCTCCGCCGTTGTGGCAGCAGGCGCAATAATCCTCGTTTGGATCGCTGAAGCTCATGTCTGGGAACATGGTGGTGGCGCCATTCTTCCCCGGCGAATCCACCGTTTTCTTGGACAGCTGGGTCGCGGTGACCAGTTGTTTGTTGAGGTTGTTGGCAGTGAGAAGAGAGGCATCGATTTCTTCGAAAGTCTCCCCCAGTTCAAGCTCCATGGGTAATTTTTCCAACACTTCATCTAGATCCTTCTCGGGATCCTGAAGCAAAAGAGAGCAGAGTTATATCTCTTACTTAAAAAAAAAAACAGCACAGAAAAGCCATCAACCTAGTCAATGAGTATGACTACCTGATCCATTCAGCTCTTATGTCCAGCATCTTTTGATTGGACATTTTCAGAAATTTTGAAAGGACATTTTCAGAAATTTTGATACGACATTCTTCTATACCATCGCCAAAACTGAAAATATCTGACAATAAGTCAATGTCCTAGAGGTGGACAGACCAGAAATCCTGCATATAGCAAATTTGTTCTGCCAATACATACATTAATATGAATCACTTAAACATGCGTTAGCATCAACACCAAGCTTGACTATTATTAAACATGATAGCTGTAATAAATGGCAAACTGAAATGTCCTAATAAATGAATAATGCTGCCGTGCTGTAGCCATTATGAACACTTCAATAACTTCATACTAAGATAGAGTTGCCTCCCCTTGCTCACTAGCACTTTCCATGTCCAGGGACTCGTCCTACTATTAGATACTAATGTTTCAGTTATGAGAGTAAAGCATTTATGTCTCAGACTTGGCAAAAGCATTATCCCTCACAACCACCCCTAAAGAGAAAATACTTTTGGCAATAATATATGGGTTTTTTTTATAAACAACCAGTTCTCTCACATTTATATGAAACGACCACACAGAGAAAGGAGACATCTATTGATAACTAATCAAATAACTTTCCATATTCATGCAAAAGGATCTACCTGTAAATTATTTCCAGCATATTATGCTGTTTCTCTCTTGGTATTATAAACTGACATCAAAGTCCGATCAAATTACAGTTTGGGCAGGTTTGCACGATGATCGGATCCACTGATTTTGTAGTTCAACTATGCACCTACAATGGTTTTAATTTCTATGAGGCCTTCAATATCAAAATCATCTGTAATTGAGACCTTTGACTATCAAAATCATCTGGAATAAGACCTTTGACTATCAAAATCATCTGGAATAAGACCTTTAACAATCAAAATCATCTGGAATTGTATTTGCAACTACAGGCTTAGCACCCAAATTCTTCTGGACTTGGAACTTGCATGACTTGGTTAGGCATGAGGTGTTACAGACATTTAACAGCTGAATAATTACTGAAATCTAAAGAGGCATGCTGTAAACAGTCAAGCTTCTTAGAAATGTCACAGAACTTGAACTAGTGGTTACAGACAAACATCAAAACTGAAATCCAGACACGCTAAAAACGGTCATGCCATGCCGATATGTGAACACTCTTTACTTTATCGTCCATAATATCCATGAGATCAGTGGGGACACTCACTGGTGGGGGTACGGTGGTGGGGGCTTGGGTGTTACTTGCTGGTGCAGGTGGTGCTCCAGGGCTAGTCGCGGGCGTTGGCTTGGGGGTGGACTGAAAAAGATTGAAAATGGTTGCATATAAAGACAAGTTTGTAATCACCCAGGGTGAGCTGTTTTTTGTAACTTTTGTTCCAACAAAGATTCTCAGGTACGTGTCAACAATAACAGTTGTTTGAGGAGCATTCTAGACAAGATGATTTTTTAAAAATAGATCAGAAATATTCTGTTGGATCATTTCAGAATTCAATTTAACTGAACAGCTATTTTTCTATTCCTGAAAAGTCTAGATGATTCGGAATTCAGTTGATGGTATAATTCAGTACAGTGAGCGAGTTAGTAGTTATCTGCACATCGACAACATCTCAGGTGAGGTGAAATGAAATGGGGTGTAATGTCGCACAACAATATCTGTCATGGAGTGAGTATTCGTAACAACCTCCCATCACTGCATGACGGTACAAGTTCCTTGGTCATGCCAGTAGCTTATGATCGTGGGATTGAATTCTGGTTTGTACCTTTTACGTTCCTAGATTTGCCACCAAAGTTTTAAATGTCTGAGAACTGCAAAAAATTGAGCTTTTCCCATACATTAGGCTAACACGCCGTGACATAACTGGAAAAACAGTGTTAAAACCCAACTCCCTCACACTGTTGTATGCATTAATATTAACATATGACAATGTCAAAAACTGATCCATCATGTCCATTACTTCATTTTTTTTGAAAATTCATTGTTTTTTTTCAAGTGTAAGAATTGCTTATAAAAATACAAGGAGAAAAGATACCATTACCATGACTAAAAAATACACAAAATGCACAAAACTTCCAAGCAAAAAGAAAACTGGGGTACTTCCCTACAGTGATCCTAGACGACGTTCTAAGTTTGTTTAGTTGGTGATGTAACCTTGGTAACATGTTTACCAATAAATTATCACATTATGAGATTATGTATAAATTTCACGTTTCAATCATACAAACTTAAAAGGGTTGACATTGCCATACTTGGCATACTAATGAATGCAAAATCCGACCCTGACACCACATTGTGACCAAATAAAACCAGAGAAATATATCCTATTCAAAAGATGTTAAAGAACACCAAATTTTTTTCATGTGACCACAGTTAATCTGTTCTGTTCTTACTAGCATAACACTATTTGGATAATCCTGTGATAATTGAAGGAGCTCAGTACCCCCTTGGCAGCCGTCGGGATTATTGCAAACAATTACATGTAGAAATTAACTTGCATATATTTATTATTAACTATCATAAATATCTGTTAAAAACAGTTTTCATTTCATGCCACGGTCAGTCCAATGAATCAAAACAATAGAACAGTGATACAAGTCAATTTCTGCCTCAAGAGTCCCCAGTAATTATATAAGACACTAAAAACCTTATAGTCATGGTGACAAAAAATGGCCACAAAACTCCAGAATAGACGAAGCTGCTAAATCTACACACCAAAATCATGATTTGTACTGATAGTGCACCGATGTGATATATGCACATGTGCTTCTGCCACGCAACAATACCAACTGAGGACACTCAACGACAGATTGCGAAATGTAGGTGTACCCCAAATATTCTTGTGTACTGATGCTCACCCCTGAGCAAGATGAAGATGTTTTTTCTCCCTTGACTTTGGCCCCGGTGATGACACAGTCCATCTCAAAGCTGGATCGTCTCTCCTGTTTGATGCGCACACCACTGAATAGCAAATCAAAATCCTATTATTATCAAGATCATACTGGTCTTCAATAACACAATTACTCTAAAAAAGCATGTAATGAAATAGTCTTATGATGATTACTAATGACTACATTTAGAGAATTCTATTCAGCATTATTCCAGGTATATTCCAGGGTATGAAACTCCCAAAAATGTCAGCCAGACCACAGGACTGGCTAGCTGAAATACTTGCCAGCCCTGACCAAAACCTGCCTGCCCACTATAATCATATGTTTAATCATATGTTTCTCAGGATAATTTAATTAAAACTTTAAATCGAATTCATTGAACATGAAGTAATGCAAGAAAAGAAATAGCAAACACTTTTTAGGTCAGATTTGTATTTAATATCCTAGAATACATCATGTAAATATCCTTATTCCTAAATAGGGCCTCATAACATTAATCATTTTAACACCAAAGATGGCCAAAATGTTTAACGACTGGTCATAATTTGCATGCGAAAATATCGCATTTTTATTTAATAAGACACCAATGTGTAAAAATTTCAATTAAGTTATATAAAATTTGTATTTGGAACTTTAAACCAATAAACAGTCATCAGATATATGAATACATAAACCGTTCTTATTAGAATTGAATAGGGCAACTCTGATGTTATTTAGGTATTTATTTCTTAGCATACGTACACCGTATTGTAGGTTATTGTCATTATGGGATCGCTACAAATTGCGTACTGAGGAATATATGACAGGGTTGTCACACATCTATCGCTGTTAATATAATGTAAAATATACCCAGTAAATAAGATGTGTAAATGATTAAATATTTATTTGTATGCATATAGATATACTAGTAGATGATTGCTTTTAATATTTATTATATTCGACTTTATCAATGAGTATCATTAAAAACCAGTGTTGTGGGTTCTAACTGTGGCGCAAATGCCGAGATCGATGCGTTGATCTGTGTAGATAGATACTAGGCCTATAAACCGCAAACATATATATATATATGTAGCGAGTTGATATAATGTTCGTAATCACTGCTGATAGATCCACTAATATAACCCGTGATTCCATAACGTGTGAGTATCGTGTGCTGTTATTCCCACGATATCGTGCATATTATGGTTATTACATTATTTACATGATATATCTACATATTATGGTTAAAGTTCTGTTATTTACACGATGTCGTGCATATTGTGATAAATTGTCTGTTATTTATACGATATTGGGCATATTGTGATAAATTGTCTATTATTTACACGATATTGTGCATATTGTGATAAATTGTCTGTTATTTACACGATATAGTGCATATTGTCATAAATTGTCTGTTATTTACACGATATCGTGTACATTGTGGAATATGTACTCTTTATGTACACAATATCGTGCGAATAGACACAGCCCTTGTAGCATAAGCGCATGGCTAAATTTTTGGTTGTCTAAAAGCTAACGGGGTTTCTTTTTGGTTACATTTTATCATTCATCTTTACATGTGAATTAATGCTTATCATCGGGAAACATTAAGAATATTTTCACATATGAAATATAACCCGACCGTCGGGCAGGGGGATTTGAAAATCTGGCAGCCCGAGTTGAAATTAACCCGTTTCGGACGGTCGGGCAGGCAGGTATTTCAAACACTGTATATTATGATGGTTTGTTAATAATCCTCATTAACATGTTTAAGTCTGTGCTTGTGCCACCACAGGTGCTGATGCTTAGGGTTGTCACTCTACATCCCGAATTCACGCCAATACTGCATTCATACATATACATATGAATATCAATTACAATGAATATCGATTACAATAAAGTTGGCGGACTTCTGCATTTTGGACAAAATAACCCGTTTTCCTAATTTCCCAGCCACAGACACTTTGTTACAAGTCCCAAAAAAACCCTTTATGTGGTACTGTACCTTGGGAGTGTGGTGTTCTCATTACTGGATGGTCTCTGGGCAGATGCAGACCCCGAGGACCCAGCTGATGAGGGGCGACTGCCGCCGCTGCTGTTGGGGGGAGTGCTGCTCTGGTTTGGACTTCGGATCAGTGGAGGGGGTCCTGGTCGTATTCAAATGGATTATTAATGTGATTGATGAAAGATGCAAAGTGTAAGTTTAATAGTACTATATTCATTTCTACATCATTTGATATGAATATATATAAAACACTGTTCTACCATGACATCTTTTCTTGAGATTCAAACATTACCCTTCAACTTGATGTCATAAATTGGGTGAAGTAATCTCATATAAGAAATTGTCTGAAAATGGAAGGTCATTAGTTTGGATTCTGGATAATATGGGTCCACTAACTATGTTTCTTAACATTGCCTTTTTCCTGTTTTCTTTCCTTAACAATGCTAAAACATGGTCCTATGCTTCTTAGAATGTTTCATGAATTTACCTCTGTTTGCTTGAGACTGCTGTTGTTGCTGTTGCTGAAGCTGAATCTTAAACTGTGTGTTTACAGAATTCTGATTGGGTTGTTGGGCATGCTGGGAGTTAGCGTATACACTCTGTTGTGTGGCTGGACGATGTTGCAGCCTCATTGGTTGGAATGGTTGTTGCTGCTGCTGCTGCTGCTGTTGTTGTTGCTGGTATGCACGCTGCATGCTTAGAGACTGAAGGTTTGGATTTGCCAATTGCTGTTGCCTTGGCCATCCATTATTCTGTGCAGTGCTCATTCTCATTTGCGACACAAGGTTGGAGACGCTGGTGGGTACACCAGACTGTTGTTGCTGAACGTGATTTTGTTGCTTCTGTTGCAGAAGGGATTGCATGTGGGGATTGTTGCTGATATGACTGGCAGCTTGCTGGAGAGCTATCAGCATCTTTTGACGTTTGACCTTGTCGTGTTCAGCAAGAATCTGGTTGGTGCTATACGCAGGTGGGTTGGTGTAGGAATGCTGACTCGGTGTGGATTGATTGGAGTTGTTTTTGTCCTGGGGATGGTAACGTGAACTGTTCACAAAGATAGCACCAAATCGGTGGAGATTAGCAAACAAAAACTGATTGTCGTGTTTGTACTGTACAACAAACTGAGTCTTCACGGTCTGGGCTTCTATAGGAGTTGTATAAATCCTGCCGCATTCTTTCAAAACGGATGCCTTTGAAGACAATAATGCCATGTTACTTCCATCTTTCATAATCTCTTGTAAAAAACTGGAGCAGTATTCATACTTCCCGAGAATCTTATTAAGGTCAATTGATTCCTTAGACAATTTCTTTGCCATGGCCTCACAAGCCGTCTTGACATTTTGAAGCAACTGTCTTGCGGTCTGAATAATCTGTTTTATCAGCAAGTCTGCCTGGCCCTGGACTGCTCGCACGATCTGTGAATGTTGATCTTTCACCTGTTGAATCTTGGACTCAATGACTTGATGAACTTGGCCAAGTTTCTTTCCTCGCTCTGACATGTGGAACATGTGATCTTGCAGCAACTTCTTATAATTTGCTGCAGCAACATCCAGAAACTGATATTTGTGGTCCTTATGCTCCACCAGCTGACAATCTCGACATGTCAGAGTATCACACGACTCACAGAAGAACATAAGCTTCTCCTGTTTGTGTTGCTTGCAGTACAGTGAACATTCCATCTGCTTGGCACTGTCAGAAACAGGGGCCTCTTCTTTTGAGACAATTTTGTGGTCTTTTGTGACACGGACCCGTCTGTGTGCTGTGACACATTGTTCACACAGCCATTCCATACAGTCAATGCAGAAGGATGTCCCTGTCTCCTTCTCCTCGCACCCGGTACATTCATGGATGCTTGTCTCTCCGTCAACAGCTTCTTCTGGTTTGGCATCCTTCTGAAGCTGCTCCTGGATGAAGAGATTGTCCCAGAGGTTTGTGGGGTCGTATGTGTGTTCACAGCAAGGACACTTTTGAGGGGCTGGAAAACAAAATTGACGACATATCATACTTGTGCAATAGTGTGGCAATAGTGATAGATTTTCCGTTTTCTCACAAATATGGTTGTTTTACACAAACCACTATCCTACCTTGTGCCAAAATCATTAGATCGCACGATTTGCCATTTTTCGTTGTTTTTTTGCGGATCTTGAGGACAAAAGAAACCATAACAAGACTACAGCTTGAAACTGTGTTTGTTGTTAACGCCGCACTCAGCAATATTCCAGCCATAGGACAGTGGTCTGTAAATAATCGAGTTTGGACAAGACAATTCAGTGATTGACATCATAAGCATCGATCCACACAATTTGGTTATGATGACATGCACCAACCAAGTCCCCTTAGTCTGACCACCCAATCTTGTTAGTTGCTTCTTACAAGCATGGTTTTGAAGATTAATTCTAATCCGGATCTTTGAGGGCATTCTGAATGTGCACACCTGTCATCGCATCACAAAATCCAAGAATTTTCAATTTTTAAGAATGTAAAACATTCGGACTTGTCCTTGAAAGCTTCCCGTGTGATAACGGTTATGAAAAGGATCCTTTGCCTTTAACGTTTAACACTGGCATTGACAAGTTGGATGATATTGTTATAAGATAGGCAGCAATATTCCATTCCATCACTTAATCAGACATGATTGAGTCTCCCATGCAAACCAGTGGTTGATGGCATGAATACTGACTAAGCTGCCAGAATACAATGACACACAACGTGCCATGTTTTGACACTTAACCTTCATCCAGACTCAAGGTATTACTGGACATTCAACAGTGATCTTACAAAGATAGTACATGGACAACCTACAGGTGGCATACAGAAAAAATATATATAACATGTGTAAATTGACGCCAATTGTGAAAACAACATCAATATAATTTTATCACATTACCATCAATTATTTCAGTACTAAAACCATGTGACAACTGCATATTATCATATATCAAGTTCACTTTCTCTTGTTTATTCCCTGGAGCTTACAAGGCACAAGAGTCTGAGTTATTCAAAAGAACAGAGTTGTGTAACTCAACTATTAGGCTAAATTAATAGTGAGCTGTAGGCCCCTACATCATTTTACATTTAGTAATCCCTGACACACTGAGTCAGAACTGACATTCAATCAATCAAAATTCCAAGTCAACGATAATTAGATGATGAATGAGAATGTCGGCTGGTTAGAAAGAGTAAAAACTATTTTGTCCACAAATACATGAAAGTCTCAAAAGCATGTTATTTGGAACCATGGCAATTTGTTGGGCTTTATAAATTTATTGCATTGTGAATAACAGGTTTATATGCATATCAAATTATTTGAACATTTTACTGGTTGGCATAGATCTACATGTGTTATGTAACCGTTGTAAAAAATTTATCGACTCAGAAACAAGGTTAACACCTGCTTCGGCAATAAAATTCTGTCGTATCTGATATTAATGCATATTACCAACTGGTAAAATTTCATTTTATCACATTATACAGGTTTACCAACAATAATACAGATCTATATCGATCAAGTTGTGAGTTGTTGGAGAAATAACAGGTAAGTTTATTTGTCGGTTGTTTGTGTATTTATGAAATAGCAATGGCTTATGGAAATCTTACCAAAGATACAAGAAATTTATTCGATGAAAATAATATGAAGAAATCAATGCGGTAAGGAGTTGTGATCTTGACACTTCTCCATCGTATAGCGACGCCAAACGAAGAACAGTGTGTAGAGCCAGGGTTCCAGCGTGCAAGTGCGCGAAATCGACCGACAACCACGAGAGGTCGTCTCCTAAATTTGCAAACTATGTTCCAATCCAAAAGTCCGATTACTTACGCACCAAAACTGAAATAAGGACACGTTCACTTGCAGATAAATTTACACCCATAAACGACTTGTGACAAATCCACCGTGAATGTGCATGTTAACATCATTTCGACCGATTCATGTTTACCCGATGTCTTCGCGGTATAGAGAGGATCATAAGCAACGTCGATAAAATCAACAAATTTGAATGAAAATGCGGTGGTAAATTATTTGCACTGCAGGTACCTGTATCAGCAGTGACGGGTCCATCGATTTCCTGGTCATCTTTCTTTGGTAACACACAACCGGGGCACACAGAATGGAGGCACGGCAAAAGTTTAGGGAGACATTTCGTCTCCGAGTAAAGACTGCTACAGCGGACGCATGCTTGAAGAAAATCCACTGGCGATTTTTCTTGGATATCACTCTCGTCTGACGGTACAGTTATGACTTCATCTTCCGCTGTTACAATCTTTTCCTCGCACTTCTCTGGCCCAGTATATTCAACTGGGCTACCACTAGGTTGGTCCATTGATGAAGCGGGCTCCGCCATTATGACAGAGAGCGCGAAAGTAACAAATTATCTCCCCTTTGCTATAAGCTTTGTTGACTGGATGACCTATTTCGAGCTAGATTGACGTCTGCGCAGGGTCGAACCGCCGCCTAGCAGAGCTCCTATCAGAATGCCCATCCTACGGTCGTCACACGGGCTCTCACTACGGCAAAACCAGATCTATCCAGTTTATTTGGTTTGAACTGGTTCTAACCAGTCTGATCTACATTTCTCTGGATGTACAAATCTAAATGGCTTGTCATCCTTCATGATGAGTCATGTTTATTCACTGACAAGTGATTAATGGATAAACAGATCCGGACCTGGCCGATTTTTGAAATGTTTTGGGCTCGTTCGGATTGGTATACTTGAGACCTACAAGTAGATGATGCATTGGCCGGTCGATACCAACATTATTTACTATTCGTTCTCTTTCTCTTATGGCCTTAGCAATAAAGAAATGACATTGCCATATTTGGTTATAAATTGCATCACATGGGGTCATCGTAAGGTTGTTGGCAACTTTCCCATCTTACGCAAGACTCGGGCAATATTTCGTCATGTCCATAGATACTTTTTCAAGCGTTTTGGGTCTTTTAGAGCATTTTTTTCAGGTAGACGTAGTTGGTTTCTCACGTCGTCCTTTTTCCAACCTTTTTGAGATGTTGGTGTTGGTTAGGTGTCAGAACAAAGATTAAACCAGCATCAATCACTGCCGTCAAACATTCTTCCTAAACAAAACGTACGTGTTGTCTATCAGACTGGTTAGAGTTACCGGTTTCATGTCGTGTTTCTTTTCAAAATTTGAACGTTTACGTATATAACCTTCGCTAAAAGACGTGCTTAAAAGGGTATTAAAGGATGAATAATGGTTACTCAAAAGAACAAACTTTTTCAAGGTGGTCACATCTTTGAAAGTTATAATATATATATATATAACTGCCACGGCATCCTTTCCAAATGTAAGGCCAAGCCCTAGCCTGTTTATTGATTAAGGCTAAACAGGCCCAGGCCTGTAGCATGTTTGTGAAAGATAACGCGTTGGTAATCTGACCCGAGGGCACGAACAATGCAGGAAAACTCCTGAATCAACATTGACAGCTGCGAGACAAGCCGTCTGCTCAACCCACTGGCAGGCTGCCAACTCACACAAAGCACGAGTCGCGGCAAGCCGCCACGCCACGTGACCTCTTATAGCGTGGGATTGGTTTCAGCTGTCAAGCAGACGGATTTTCGAAAGTTCGCTGTCTGTGCGTACTACCGTTTGTCTGTATGTTTGTACCGCGGTATGCAGCTGGAACTTCGCATTACTCGGCGCTTATTGGCCAGTGATTAGACCCGGGTTACAATTCATTAATACAACTGCGTGCTGTAATAAGGATTTACTAACAAATTAAGCAATGTATTGAACAATGTGTTAATCCTACCCCTCCCCAGGGGCTGAACGTGAACGCTTTGTATTGTGTATCTTGATTCATGCGATGTGTTCACAGTCGGCGTCTGTCAAGTGTTATGCTTTGTTGGATAATGGCTGTTTATTTGGCTGTTACACAATGTTACATAATTACTGGGTGTCGGCAATTACGCATTGTTTGTGACGTAATATGTCAGATTAGAATTTGACAGATATTTGATGTTCTTGGGGACTATGAGTATGTTCTTGGCGATGTCTGGCGCCCGACGATCTAGACTAATCGTTGCTTAATTGTACCTTATGACTGACTTGACTTTTTAAATAACCGTTTTCGAGATTGTGAACAACACATTTTTTTGCATTAATTAACCTGATTTAAAACTTACGTGACACATGTTGAATGTATTTGAAGGACTTATGTCTATATATTCTGTTTTTGTAGCTCACCTGCCCCGGGTAATTCCGGGTTAGAATAACACACGCGCGCACGCACGCACATACACACAAACACACACATCCCCAACAACCTGTGCTGGTTGTAAGATGGATCAGATTGTCAAACTCGTTGATTTGGTTGATTTCGTGTCATCGTACCCCGACGGCGTGGATAGCTGCTCACAATATCAATCACTTGATTGTCTAGCCCTAACCTTATAATGTCTAGGTCAGAATCTTAATGCATGACCACTTTACGCGTAACACTTAACTATAGTATCTATACGTATATTCCCCATACACCCTGTCCACGTATAGCCAAACTGTATGTCTGTTCGTTTGCCTTACTGTGTGAACGTCTTACTGTTTTGTTACTGTATGTTCGTGCTCCTGCCACCGTAAGGTTGAGGCTGTCTGCCTAACTGTATGTCTGTTCGTTTGCCTAACGTTGTGAATGCCTTCCTGTCTTGTGACTGTATGTCCGTGCGTCCTGTTCACGTCGAGATTGTCTGCCTAACTGTATGTCTGTTCGTTTGCCTAACTTTATGAATGCCTTCCTGTCTTGTTACATGTCCGTGCGTCCTGTTCACGTCGAAATTATCTGCCTAACTGTATGTCTGTTCGTTTGCCTAACTGTGTGAAGGCCTTCCTGTCTTGTTACATGTCCGTGCGTCCTGTTCACGTCGAAATTATCTGCCTAACTGTATGTCTGTTCGTTTGCCTAACTGTGTGAATGCCTTCCTGTCTTGTTACATGTCCGTGCGTCCTGTTCACATGAAGATTGTCTGCCTAACTGTATGTCTGTTCGTTTGCCTAACTGCATGTGTGAATGCCTTCCTGTCTTGTTACATGTCCGTGCGTCCTGTTCACATGAAGATTGTCTGCCTAACTGTATGTCTGTTCGTTTGCCTAACTGTGTGAATGCCTTCCTGTCTTGTTACATGTCCGTGCGTCCTGTTCACATGAAGATTGTCTGCCTAACTGTATGTCTGTTCGTTTGCCTAACTGCATGTGTGAATGCCTTCCTGTCTTGTTACATGTCCGTGCGTCCTGTTCACATGAAGATTGTCTGCCTAACTGTATGTCTGTTCGTTTGCCTAACTGCATGTGTGAATGCCTTCCTGTCTTGTTACATGTCCGTGCGTCCTGTTCACATGGAGATTGTCTGCCTAACTGTATGTCAGATCGTTTGCCTAACTGTGTGAATACCTTCCTGTCTTGTTACATGTCCGTGCGTCCTGTTCACATGGAGATTGTCTGTCAAACTGTATGTCTGTTCGTTTGCCTAACTGTGTGAATGCCTTCCTGTCTTGTTACATGTCCGTGCGTCCTGTTCACATGGAGATTGTCTGCCTAACTGTATGTCTGTTCGTTTGCCTAACTGTGTGAAGGCCTTCCTGTCTTGTTACATGTCCGTGCGTCCTGTTCACATGAAGATTGTCTGCCTAACTGTATGTCAGATCGTTTGCCTAACTGTGTGAATGCCTTCCTGTCTTGTTACATGTCCGTGCGTCCTGTTCACATGGAGATTGTCTGCCTAACTGTATGTCTGTTCGTTTGCCTAACTGTGTGAAGGCCTTCCTGTCTTGTTACATGTCCGTGCGTCCTGTTCACATGGAGATTGTCTGCCTAACTGTATGTCAGATCGTTTGCCTAACTGTGTGAATACCTTCCTGTCTTGTTACATGTCCGTGCGTCCTGTTCACATGGAGATTGTCTGTCAAACTGTATGTATGTTCGTTTGCCTAACTGTGTGAATGCCTTCCTGTCTTGTTACATGTCCGTGCGTCCTGTTCACATGGAGATTGTCTGCCTAACTGTATGTCTGTTCGTTTGCCTAACTGTGTGAAGGCCTTCCTGTCTTGTAACATGTCCGTGCGTCCTGTTCACATGAAGATTGTCTGCCTAACTGTATGTCTGTTCGTTTGCCTAACTGCATGTGTGAATGCCTTCCTGTCTTGTTACATGTCCGTGCGTCCTGTTCACGTAGAGATTGTCTGCCTAACTGTATGTCTGTTCGTTTGCCTAAATGCATGTGTGAATGCCTTCCTGTCTTGTTACATGTCCGTGCGTCCTGTTCACATGAAGATTGTCTGCCTAACTGTATGTCTGTTCGTTTGCCTAACTGCATGTGTGAATGCCTTCCTGTCTTGTTACATGTCCGTGCGTCTTGTTCACATGAAGATTATCTGCCTAACTTTATGTCTGTTCGTTTGCCCAACTGTATGAATGCCTTCCTGTCCTGTTACTGTATGTCCGTGCGTCCTGTTCACGTAGAGATTGTCTGCCTAACTGTATGTCTTCGTTTGCCTAACTGCATGTGTGAATGCCTTCCTGTCCTGTTACTGTATGTCCGTGCGTCCTGTTCACGTAGAGATTGTCTGCCTAACTGTATGTCTTCGTTTGCCTAACTGCATGTGTGAATGCCTTCCTGTCCTGTTACTGTATGTCCGTGCGTCCTGTTCACGTAGAGATTGTCTGCCTAACTGTATGTCTTCGTTTGCCTAACTGCATGTGTGAATGCCTTCCTGTCCTGTTACTGTATGTCCGTGCGTCCTGTTCACGTAGAGATTGTCTGCCTAACTGTATGTCTTCGTTTGCCTAACTGTGTGAATGCCTTCCTGTCTTGTTACTGTATGTCCGTGCGTCCTGTTCACGTAGAGATTGTCTGTTCGTTTGCATAATTGTTTGTCTGTTCGTTTGCATAACTCTATGTCTGTTCGTTTGCTTAACTGTGGTTGTATGCCCGTGTGTACCTCTTGATTGGTCAGCCGGCGGTCGAACGTCAACCATAGGCCCTTAACTGGAAAGCGACCTCGTCGGTTTCATGAACAAAATTACGTGCTAATTATATACAATGAACTCCGCTCTTGAAATAGAAGGTCGCAATTGTCGAAGTCGGTTGTACGAGAATCGCAATTTACGTCTTTGTAACAAATCGATTCAACACGTCCATTTCGCTTCACCGGATAGGCCGCTTGACCAGAGCCAACGAAAGGTTTCAAAGCAAGTCTAATGTCCAAAGTCCACTTTGCTCTCAAAACACCGGTTACACGTGGGCTAGAATATCTATTCGGAGCCAGGTACACAAGTATATATCATTTTTCGGTAGGCTGAACATTTCAACACCAAAATGTGTCACCCTGCAAAACACGTTATGACGTCAGCTACAACATGGCAAAGCCAGCTCCATGATAAACTGTGTTTTACAAACATGGCAGCCCGTCTGGTCTTGCTATGACACGCGACACGCAGTGATCGGCCTTTAGTGCCTGTATCAAGCTGATACT